TCCAATCGACGTTTAAGAGTAATCCGACGACCAAATGAGCTTTATACCCAGTGCAATATACATAGAAGGACTTTATTTAATGGAGAGTCTATAATGATTTGGGAACGAATTTCTCTAACATAGCTGATAGATCTTGTTCCTTTACGTGGAATTTTTTTAAACAGTGAAAAGTAAATAACCAATATTTTATCTCAGTATGTTGTATCTTTCTCTCCTTATATTGGTACATAACATTTTTTTGCTAATGCACGATAATGCAAGACCTCACGTTGCACGAACTATAACCGAATATTTACAACAGATAAATCTTCGGATTTTCAATTGGCCACCGCATAGTCCAGATCTTAACCCGATAGAACATTTGTGGGATATAATTAACAGAAGACTAAGATAGCGTTTGCCACCTCCTAGAACCACACACGAGGTAGAAACAGTAGCTCTAGTTCGCTGCATGAGCGACCAAGAAAAATCCACACAGGTAGCGTTACGTGTGTGCTGGATACTTAATAAACACCAAAAACCATTTTCTGATTCTGAGATAGTGAAGGAATGTATGCTGGCAGTAGCTAACTCACTTTTTGAAGAAAAAAAAAGATGTTGCCTCAGCAATTCAAAGCATCTCATTGTCAGCGCGAAGTAATACACGAAGAACGGAGATTTTAGCTTTGGATATTACAAACGCCCTTCTTAATCTTTTGCAAAAGGCACCTTGCTACGTCATAGCACTTGACGAATCATGTGACATTGTTGATGATGAACAAATGTATGTTTTTGTAAGATTTTTAATATTGATTGTCAGATTTTTAAGGAAGAGTTGCTAGCAATATTTCCGCTGAAAGGTAACACTCAAGGAGAAGATTTATTCAAGGTTATTGATGAATTAATTTCTAAATCTAACATCAGTTATAAAATGATTTCGCTTTCGACTGATGGGGCCCCAGCAATGATTGACAAAGAGAAAGGTGTAGTAAAGAGGATCAGGGAAAAAAATTCAAATTTAATAACATATCAGCGCATAATACACCAGGCAGCCCTTTGTGGAAAACTTAGTTCTAGACTTACAACAGTCATGGACAGTTTAGTGAAGTTAATTAATTTTATGAGATCTCATCTCTTCAGCACCGACGTTTCAAGGAGTTCCTTCCTGAATGTGATTCAGCACATTCTGACTTAATACAACACAATAATACTCGTTGGTTAAGTAAAGGTCAATTTATTGAACGTTTCTGGCTAATAAAAGTGTGATCACCTTCTTACAAAATGTAGATACGCATGGAGCCACGGCACATTTTGAGTATATAACAAACAGGCGCAACATGCTGGTTTTGGCTTTTCTAAGATATTTTAAAATATTTGAATGCGCTTAACACAGATTTATAAGTAAATATAAAGTTAGTATGTGATCTGATATAAAGCGTGTCTGCTTTTCGTCGTCAACTGGATATCTTTGAAAAATATATTGCACTACAAGAATTCGTTCATTTTCCAACTATTCTTGAATATAATAAAAATAAAGAGTACTCCGAATAAGACATTGCAGTGTTCGTAAAATTTCTGGGAGATCGTAGGAACGAATTTGCTTCAAGATTCCAAGACTTTGCACAGGTAAGCAAACTATCTTCATTTTTAAAATCACCATTTGAAGTTGATGCAGCAGCAGAATGGACAGATGTGGCTGCTTAAGCTGTTTAATCTGTCAAAAGCATTACTTCAAATGGAGATTATTTAAATACAAGAAGATTTGTCCTTGCACGTTTATAAATCAGTATCTACCGAAGAATTTTGGGCCAAACATGTTACAGCAAAATATGAAAATTGCAGACAACTTGCAATTAATTTGGCCACTATGTTTGGCTCAACGTATATGTGCGAAACGTCTTTCTCAAAAATAAATTTTTTGAAAAACAAATATCGCTCCCGATGAACGGACGCCCACCTCGAAGATACACATCGAATTTGTTGTTCGACTCGAGAACCAGGCCACAAACAACTAGCTCAAGACCTTCGGTGCAATTTTTCGAATGTTTTTTTTTCTGGGCCCTGTTAAAATTTTCTTCTAGTATCCGGACCCCACATAAAATTAATTGCTGACCCCTGATATATACTATACTGAGTACAAGATATGTGGACCTTATAATAAGAACAATGATTATTATACAAATATGAGTATTCGAATTTGTCTCCACATCAACGTTCTGCCGAGTGAGAAACCCCTCGCTAATAATTTATGTACGTCACTGATAAGTATACACTTAAGGAGTAGAGTAGATCATGAAATTATGATTAACGGCGACATGTTAATTTGATTAACAATAATGTCGATAATAGAAAAATTACAAAATTAAATAAACCTATTTTTGTCGTATACCATGAACAACTCTTCGCTTAAATGAATAAAAATATCTATATCGAATTATTGTTACAGATTATATTGTAGATAAACTTCACAATAGAACATTAAAATGTTTCTCAATCTAATAGAACCGCTGTCAAGTAAACGTTTAGTATCATACAGTGGAAATAATAACACTATGATTGTTCAAACAATCACAATCATCCAAATAAAGTATTTATTTATTTGCACTTTTACTCAGACATCGAAGTTAATAGGAAACATTTTATTAAATTTTATTTAGGAATTGTTGAAACAAAATGTAAATATTTTTCACATGTTTTCCTTACTATGTAGTTCTGATGGAAATATCTATTTGGCTTTTTATGTACATTTAAAAGAATTGCTATAATATACAATTCATTCATTCTTCTTCTTCAAGTTCCATCTTCTAAACTTTTGCAGGTTTTATAGTTTTATTTTTTAAATGTTTCTGGAGACTGTGAAGTTCTGTTTGCTATTGCTATGCGTTTTTTTTATTTCGTCGCTTGGCGTGTTTGTTGCGTTTACCAGCAATCCAAGATATGTGAATTCTCTGAGTTGCTCAAAGGTATGGTTGTTAATTTGAATTCTCTGTTAGTTCAGGGTTTTTAGAAACCAATATATATTTGGTTTTTTCTTCGTTTATCACAAGTCCTAATTCACTTACCGCTTCCGCAAGCCTTGTAGAACACTGTACCAAATCTCTCAAACTTCTGGCCACTATAAACTATATCGTCAGTGAATAAGAGAATTTGCGTAGATCTATTAAAAATAGGTCCATTCATTCTAATATTTAATTTTTTCTCTTTTTTTTTCAACAGGAAAGAGAAATGTTTTCAAATTTCTCTCTCCTGTTGCCGACAAAGAATGTAGCGTAGAATATTGGCTATCGTGCAAGCTCCAATGGCAGAGCGCCATGGAGCATTTGACCTACTTAATTTCATATAAGTATAGGTGCACGATGGCCAAAAGTTCGTTCTGGTCTGAACAGGCAGAACCAGCCTTCTTGGCATTAGAGACCTTCTGGTCGATTTAGTTCCCAGAAACTCTGCTTTTTATTGTACCTAACCGCTATCCTTTTATTTCAAGATTTTTTTAAATTCTCCAGCGAGACTTAGTCTAATTTATATTTAACCCTGCGTTGGTCGCATGGATAAATGAACCACCATTAGTCGCAGGTGAGCGTGAAGCTCACTTGTCATGTATATGACTTATTTTTACTTTTTATGAGTCAAAAAAAACAAAAGGCATAAATATAATGATTTATTTATCAAAGCTAAAAAAAGGCAATATTAAAAAAAAATACAAAAAAAATACAAAAAAAATACAAAAATACAAAATACAAAAAAATACAAACAAAATACAAAAAAAAATACAAAAAGGAATAAAACATAAAATATAAAGTTTGGTACATCTACATAAATAAGCATAATTCTGAAACAGCAACTAGAATAATAAAAAAAATTACTCAGATTCAGGAACTTCGTAGCGTTCACACTCTGTACAAATGGTGATTGTATGTTCTTTACAAATTGCTCTGAAACACTTGGCACATTTTGACGCTGTTTTCCAATTTTTTTTCTTGGGACAATAGGAACATTTTGGCCTTGCACCTGCTTGATTTTCCTCAGGAACATCTCGTTTCTGTGTCAAAGGAAGATTCAGATATTTTTTAATTTGCAAAGTTAGCAGAAATGGCAAGTTTTGGGCCGCTCTTTTTTGCATATGTGGGGTAATGAGTTGGTTGACAGGAATCTAATACATTTGTCCTAAATATAATGTTTCCATTTATTCCAGCGATGTTTAGCATAGTAAAAAAACAGTCAATGGCCACCTACACGTGATTCTTGCCACTGAATAAAGACTCTTCAGTTGGTCCACTGAATCTACTCCCGATTTTGTTTGATTGTAAAAAGTAACTACTGCTGGTTTGCAAACTTCACCACTTTCCTCGTCAATTTCGTCATATTCATGGAGGGTTGACAAAAGCAGGACATTCTTATTTTTTTTTGGGGCGTACGAAACTAATAAACATTCACGACCAAAAGCAAATAAACTGCTACGAATTGGCCTTTCTTTAGTTGCAACAAATAATATTTCAGGAATTTCACGTTTGTCTTTTCTAATTGTCCCAACTAAAGTTATTTTTTTCTTTTTTAATTCTTTGGCCAAAGGAACTGACGTGAACCAGTTATCACAGGTTAAATTTCGTCCTGATTTCATAATGGGTTCACACAATCGTTTCACCACACTGGCTGGACTGTTGTCCAGCCATCGTTTTTAACACATTCTCATTTCTGAAAACTTAGTGTATACAATTTTGAAAGTCTACTATACTTTCTATCCTAGCCAATTTGCTATTTAGTATTTAGTTTATTTACTAGCTGATTCATCAATTTAATCCAATTTTTTGTATCAATCAAGATGACTCAAAAAAACTGGATACAAATGGCATAATTATTTTTGTTTAATTTAAAATACTTCTTACGTAAATATGTACTACAGTGCTACAGTAAATCACATAGTAAAATCTAACTCTTTATCTTACCTCTTAAGATCATAGAGATAGATCAAGAATTTTTGTAGATATTTACATTTCAAAAATTCCAAGTTGTCTGTGTATAATATACAATGACATTGACAAAATTTATATTTCAATTTATGATTTTTTCATGTTTCTTTGCTTCCTCCAAATATATTAAGCAGTTTAAGTGCAATGTGGTGCCATAATTATTTTTTCCGTAATATGGGCTTACCATGTAGTAAAAGAAAAAATACACAAATCACTGATCAAGATAGAACTATTCTTAAGTTAAAACAGAAAAGAGACATGTTACAAAAATACCAAAAAATGATTAAAGCATCATTAGTTACTCAAAATGAGATAAAGCAACTGATAGTCCAAGGTAACACAGAAAAGGTAAGAATATTAATAAAAAAGAAGATTTTTAAAGAGCAACTGATAAACAAAATTGACGGATTACTATATAATATTGAACAAATGGTGAATGATATAGAATATGCCAGAATTGAGGCAGAAGTATTGGATAGTTTGGTAGCTGCTAACGAAATTCTCACAAGTATTAATGAAGTGTTTGATATTAACACTATTGAAGATATATTAAATAAAACAAAGCAAGGAATACAGACACAAAATGAAATTAATAAGTTCATTAGCAGACATTTAATAGAGGAAGATGAAGAAGCTGTAGAATTGGAATTGGCAGAAATAATCGCTCAACAGATGCCTGTAGTACCTGTAACAGAAATTGAAACAGATACATCTGAAGATAAAATTCACATTAAAAAGAAAAAAGAAATAAAAGGAAAGTCTATGAATGCTGATTAAAAGAAATATATGTTTTACTGAATCACACATATTACTTTTGTATTTTATGTACAATAAGGTGAATAAGATAAAATCAACTGATTTGACTGATTTATAACAAAATATTTAGGAAAAAGACTAATAAAAATGTTAGAAATTTATAAGATAAAAATAGTTTATAGAGATTTATAAGATAAAAAAGAGATCTTCTAATTTCAGCACATCTTTCCAAAGGGACCTAGAAATTGTGTTGTTAAAAAACGGAAGAAGTAGAAGTTTATTTATTCAAAAATAGGGAAAGCCTAATATATACAAAAGTAATTAATTGATAAGATTAATACATAATAAGATAAAAATAACAATTACACTTAAAATATTAGTAGTAAGTAGTAGTAACAGTACCTACACTTATTAAAAATATAAAACAATAATATATAACATAAAACATGACTACAAAACAACTACCTAACTATTGGTGCTGTTAATATGGTCCATTAATTTGCTTTTAAACAGTTGTATAGATGAACAACTTTTAACTGTTTGAGGAAGCTTATTAAAAAGATCAAAACCCTTAAACAACAAAGAGTTTTTTGAAGCCCTTTTTGTTTTCACAATGTGTAAATTGCCATTACCTCGAGCAGGCTAATAGTGAATATCACAATTCCGCTTAATAAACTCACAAAAGTAAGCAGGGGCCAAAGTATTTAAAATTTTGTAAATGAACACCATTGCTATACATGTATATCTGCTTCCACCAAAAATGATTCTCATTCCACGATTTTGAAATTTTTTATAACTGGGCCGATTGATTTAAATTGCAGAGAAAAATAAGTGATAAGCAAAAATCGAAGTGAGGTTGAATAATTGCATTAAAAACTGTAATTTTAGTTGAAGTTGACACATTTTTAGATATTCTTGAAAAAAAGTATAATTTTTTTGGATATCTTTTTTAATATGAAATTAAAATGGTCATAAAAGACAAAATTGTTGTGATGATTTCTATTTGATCATTCTCAGTTTGAAGATTAATTGTATTTATATCAATATTTGAATATTTGTATTTAGTTGGTATTATCATAGCCTTCTTCTTTAACACATTTAACTTTAGTTTGTTGATCTGTAAGTATTTATTAACAGACTGAAATGCTGAAGTCATTCTAGATACAGCATTTTCTTAGTTTGAATCAAAACACGTAAATGTTGTGTCATCTGCATACAAATTAAAGAAATCACATTTAACAAACAAGTTTATATCATTTAAATACAATATGAACAAAAGGGTCCTAAAACACTACCTTGAGATACCCCAATATTAACACTAATTACAGAAGAAGTAATATCATCAATCCTCACTTGTTGCTTTCTATCCAATAAGTAATCTTTAAACCATTCAAAAACATTTCCTCCAATACCATAGCCTTCTAATTTAGTGAGAAGTATATTACGATAAATAGTTTCAGAAGCTCTTTTTAAATCGAAGAATACTACAACATAATTATCATTGTCCAATTCAGACCTGAATTTACAAAGTGAAAATTGCAGTGCAGTTTCGCAAGAATACTAAACAGTCTGTTGACTGTAGATTACATGTATATATAAGTACCAAGTACCTATAAATGGTTCTGTGTAATTGTGGTATATCAAGATTAATTTTATTTTCTCTGAACTGTATTGGGTTTTTTTAATAGTCAATTGTCTATAGTGGAAGCACTATGTGGCTCACATGAATGCCACATGCAACAGTGGTATCATGCACTGGAGACATAAATAGAGAAGGGGAAAACAAAGACAAAACTATATATTATAGTGTATATAAATGAGTATTTTACTTTAACTTATGGATAATTATAAACAAAATGCAGTCACTAATATTTTATATTTAGTTAATATTTAAATATACTAATCTTTATATAAAATCAAAATAGATTTGCAATTCAGATATTTACAATTGAAATACATATTTAAAAGACGGGGACCGTTTGATGGTAATCTAAATTAATTGGTCGAGTTCTCCAAAAAAACCATACACACATTTTAAATGCCACTAGCAAGTGCTTAACATATACTCTGTTGTGTTCTTGCTATAGTATGTCTAATTAATATTCTAGATAAGTACACATTTAAATATTTTGGTTTTAAAATTTTGAATATTATAATAGTTTATTCCTAAATTTCTGTATTTATTTATAAAAATTAGTTGGAATAAATTTTAAAAAAAACATATAGCCTTCAAATGCAGAAGCTTTATCACAAACTTTTAATATTAGCATTAGCATTAAGTAGCTAAATATTAGTCATTATATTTCGCTGCATTAAGAAAAAAAACAGTGCATTACAGTACAATTTAAAAATAAATAAATATGATACTTAATAGCTAGAAATGTTTGAGTATAATTACATCAATATTAATTATAATGTTGATCACCAAACATAAAAAAACTGGTTTGGTTTAAATAATAAATTAACATTATATTTATATATAATTTTCTGTATCTGTAGTTCTATAGAATTAAAATTCAAAATATTTTCCTCTATAATTCTAATTAGAGGTAAATCAAACTATATATTTGTTATTTTTATTATTGAGATTTAAAAATAATAGGAGCATTGCTTTCCAATATTTTTTTTTTCAAAAATTGTAAATATTCCTAAAGTAGTATCAAAGATAATAAACATAGTATTTTGGTAGTATATCTCAATCAAAATCTGTACTTAGTTGTCTTTTTGTAAACACTGCAATAGTAGGTCAACTGCATTGTAACAAAACACAAACAGGGAAAGGGGAAAACTACTAGAGGAAAAAATAACACTACTAAAATAATATGAGTTGAAGTTGATAAAATCTAAGTCTTAAGTAATATGCTCTAATGCAGAACAAATCACCTACCTGTTCATTTTAAACACTAACATAAAAAGTAATTCTGACAAAGAAGGTCAGAAGGTGAATGGTCTACTTGAAGCATTAAAACAGCATTTCCTGTTATATTTTTTAAATTACCAGGCTTGAGATTAAAAATATGTGTTCCGGTGATATACAAACCCAAAAGTTTTAAAAACAGAAAATAAGTTTTAAAAACTTACCTCTCAGTAACAGGTTATCTTCAGTATTTAGATCATTATCTACAATAACACTTTATGAATTAATATTTATTATTTTAACACGAAACTTTCTGCGAACATTTTGTACGTTTCATCAGGTTTTTTTATTTAATTAAGTACAGAAAACGGTTTCCCGATCGGGTCCACTGATTTTAAATAGTGCACAAGTGCACTACACTACACGGTGCATGTTTCGTTCGTATTATCTCTCACCTTTTCACTTTTTGTTTACATCAACGCTGTGTCTCTAGACCCGTCACCGGACTCAAAAACTATAAAAGAAGGGGTATAGCAAGTATAATAGCTGAAATTAAATAATTAGCCATAATCTAATACTAATATTATTAATACAATTTTGAACCAGAATGTGAATGTTTATTTAATATATTAAAAGATTATAATTCAAATTACCATTAAATATGAAAAACAAAGAAATTTATACTTTCGTTTGTATGTAAGAGAAAGATAGTTATAAAATTATATTTGGCAGAAAGATATGTCAACCAAATTTTTCTGACATTTATGCCAATTAGCTCTCTGACTCTGACACTGACAGAAGTTTAAAAGTACAAAATACAAACAAAATGTTTAAGAAAGAATGATTCCTGATAACGTTTACCCAACTCTTCTTATAAATAATAATATTAATTTTATTTTATTTAAAGTAAAAATAGCAAATATGTGCAAATGTTTTTTAATTAATAAGTTTATTTTCCAGGTAGCTATACACTTTGCAGAAAAAGGATTGAATGTTTGGTTTATTTCTCCTTCCGTTTTGGATAATATTCCTGATAATATTGTTCCTCCAGACAGAGAAATATTACAGCTAATTACGTTTATGTAAGTATTTTCCTCTTCCATCTTTTGTAATTGGGAAATTACAATAGTGGAATTGGAAGAAGTATGTATATTAAATTATGGTTTTCTTGGACTCTTTTTCTTACTAATTTATACATTTTTACATCCATACCTACACAATACGAGCTGTTTCTGTGTTCTTTAACTCTTTTTTTAATCCCAGGTTTTGGTACCACTTTATGCTTCCACTTATATCCAAGAATCATCTAAGCAAATTGTAAAAAAAACACTATTGTTTACAAGTACTATATGTAGAAGCTGTTGAGCCTCATCTTCAAATCAGAAATTATTTTCAAATATCCATCATTTGAACAAATTAGATCTTACATATATTGGGCAAAACTGCTTTTATGTAGCATTACTTTACAGAATTATTTCTATTTTTCCAAGAAATTGCAAACTGTGGATAAAATTGTCTGTGTAGACTGAGTATTTTGCTTTGTTCCATAAAACTCAAGTAGTGATAGCCACAAGATTTCTTGTCTGTGCAATGGTATAAATGCATTTAATAGAAACCTAAAAATAATGCAAAAAAATCAAATTACAAATTATATTAAATCCAATTGTAAGTTTATATTTGTTCCCTTTGTTTACGTAAAAGTGACAACACCTTATCCATGTTCCAGTATTGTTTGTCTAGGAGCTGAGATGGGCCCATAGACAAGAAGTGTGTGACCTTGTATATTAATTATTCATCCATATCATATTAGGGATAGGATTGTATATTTTTCTGAGCGAAGAATCTATTGAAACTGAATTGTACTTGGAATCATAAAGTTGAATATAAAGCAGTTTAGTAAAGTTTCTGGCTCAATACAGTTAAGATTTTAAAAATATTCCATGATATTTCATTATGTTAAATAGTTCTTTTTAATTGTAACTTTGTGTTAAATGTATCAAAATATTTGTGATTCCTTTTAATATTTTTTCAACTTCTTTTTGAATAATCATAGGCATAAGTATTATAATAAGTTTATTGTTTTCAAAATTCATGATAATATTTTTTTAGATACCTCAAAGATTGCAAAGATCTGTTAAATCATCTGAACACTATCCATTTATGGCACAAATCTCCTACAGTTATTCTTATATCAGGTTTTGATATTTACACAAATATATTTGAAGAAAATTATAATCCTATGTTAGTTGCACTGTTATCAACCACTCTATTGGATAGTTCAGTAGTGTGTTATAAGAAAAACAAAAAGTCAGTATATTTAATCCTTACTCTAGAGACTGTACCCGATCATTATAGAGATAGAATAAAAGTATTATTTGACATGTATTTTCCTAATATTATAACACATCAACCTGAAGAAATTGTAATAGATGAAATTGTTAATTATTATATAAATAAATGATATTTTCTTACTTATCAGTAGTTTATAGAAACAACAGTGATTGACAACATATGCTAGAAACAATTCATATGGTACTGATATGTAAACATAATGGGAGAAGTAGAGAAAATTCATGTATCCTGGAAGATTTTAATCTTCCCAATTGTCAGTGGTCCATTGATGGATTGTCTTCTGTGGCTACTCTGGTAAAGATGGTCTGACGTAAGCAGTGTAGAAAAGTGATACACCCATTTCAAATCGCAGTGTGCTTTAACTGCTAAAACAGCCTTAATTGGGCGATAGCCTGTTGATAAATAAATAGCCTACAGGAACACAGAAAGGAGGACTGGCAATGAATGGACAAAACTATGGATATTAGGAACCGAAAGGCAACTGCATTTGCTATGAATCCGATGACACTCATATGTTTATGCTGTTTTAGACCAGTAATAGAGGGAGAGAAGATAGTAAAATGCAGGGCGCAAGACCAAGAGGAAGGCCACGAAAAAGATGGGAGAATTAAGTGGCAATATTTGCTAGACATAAGAACATGGAGAAGATCGGTGCAGAACAAGTAAGGTTGAAGGAGGCCAGGGCTCGATCTTGGTTGTAGTGCCATTGGAGAGAGGGAGATAGAAACACTTAACATATATTTACTTTGTTTTATAAGTGACTCTTTGACATACTGAGATAGGGTTTGATCTTTTTTAAATATAAGATACTGCCATTGAAGATCGGCAGTTGGCAGCACTTTTGACAATTTCTTCTTTGTTGTGGGTCTTTAACAAAGCGTTTGATCCAAATCTGTCCAGTGTTGGATGACTTTGTTACTTGATCTCCTCTATTAAGGACTATAGAAATTCGTATGTACAGGATGTGATAAAAAAAATATAAAACAATACTTTTTTCGTTATTTTTATTATATAATTTAATATAATACATATTAATATACAAAATATATATTTTTAACGTAAGTATAACATTCAGTTAATTTTTCTTCAAATGACTAAAAAAGTTAAGTACTCTAAAGCACATTTTTGATTAAAAAGTAGTACAAGTGAGAGTTCTATCTGTAAACATATGTGTATTCATTAAATTTGCTTGTAATGCATCAAAGAATATATTTTTAAAGACAATCATAACGAATTTTGCTTCATGTAAAGAAAAAACGTATTTCTTCTTTATACGAACAAGCTTTTTGTTGTCAAAATGTAAATATATTTATATATAGAAGTGTGCTATGCCCAAAGGAAGCCCGATTTAAAATAAAATTTGATAACGCTATTAATAATTCCTCTGAAAGAACATGCAATCACAGTTGTCTTTATTTTAATTTAGCTAATTGAAAATCGCTTGAGATTTACAAATATAAAAACTTGTCACTTAATCAATAACATTTCTAATATAATCAACTGCTCACGAAAGTCAGGAAGGACTTTAAGGAAAAATTAAATTATGTGTTAGGGAATAATGTTGATGCAGATAAAATTCACAAATAAGACAAATAGTGAATATAGGTACAGTCGATTTTATATTAAATTAAAAACGGATAAATTCCGGGAGTTGGCTGTATATCATATAGTTAAAAAACTCAACATAGAAGTAAAACACTTCTATTGTGGTATATTGTCAACTTGTTGAAAGAGTTGGTATTTTCCATTCCGACAGTTCGGACATAGAAATCATTTTTTCTAGAAGGACTTATGTCCCCGTTAGTAATCAATTTCATCGCATACTGCCATGATAATACTAGTATGTTTTTTTTTCAATTATAACCCAACCTCTGTTTGGTTTTGCGGTTATTTACGCAAGTACTACAAAAGTTCACTGAAGATGAACTGATTAGTCCGAAAATGTTTTGATCACGCGGTAATTATTTTAAGAGTATAGAAGGGCTACAAATTTTAAGCGAATGCATCAATGGAACTTAACATTAACATTGATAAGACCAAGTTTACGATAATGTTGAAGGTTCCTACAAATAATGAACAATTAAATCTGAGTGGGCAGCAAATATAGAGAGTGAAAAAATATACATATCTGGGAGTCTACATTAACTCGTGAATGGATCCAGATAAGGAGATCAGGGTACGAGTAGAAATGCCAAGGACAGTGTTCTTAAAATTCAGAATATTGTTTATGTAACAGAAATCTGAATACTGTGCCCAGACTGAGGTTTGTATTGAGCCCCAACGGCTATACGTAGTAGAAACATGGACATTAAAAGACAAATAATTAAAAACAGCCTTTGAACTATGGATATACCAGAGAATGCTGGAATTCCATGGACGACCAGTGTCACCTAAACAATAAAAGTAGTTGAACACATACTGCAGAATGAAACATACAGTATATTGCAGGGTAGATTAGATTAATAGATGTAGTGGAAAATTGTATTCGTAATCATCTTACCTGTTCCGCTTTAAATATTTTTAATATTCCGATAAGTAAGTTTTTATATCTTACAAAATATGTTCATTTAAGAGGACCAATCTAACTTACTATTTGACAAACACAAGCGAATACAATAACATTTTATCTACATTAAGATCTTAAAACAAATATATGGTTGGGTTTATAATATTCTTTGAAGACTTGATTTTATAATTTAATTAGTAACACCAAAAAATAGTATTAATAAATAATTTCCGTATAAACATTGTCAATAAAACAACTATAAAAATATGCTAGTAAATTGTTATGTACATTAATAAACTAACAACTTGTAGATAAGTTTTAGAGGCAGTATAAGGCACTAAATATTTCGATTCTCGTCTATATTATCGTTCTATACCGTAAAAATATGTTGTACAGCACACGGAGTGTTGATTTCAGATCCATATTAACGACATCTAGAAAAAAAAAATTAGTTATAATAGTATTTATTATATTAGTTTAGTATTATATTATTTATTATATTATTAGGGCTATGTCCAGCAGTGGATGTGATAAATTAAAGGTGGATGACGAAGTAATATTTGTTATTTAATCATTTTTGCTGTCTTTAATGACACGATTTTATTTAAAAACATTGTTCAAATGTAATAGTAATACCAACTACTGCAGGTGTTTCAAAGTCTAGTAAATCGATTTAAAATAAAAATTGATTCAAACGAGGCATTGGAACCGGGTCGTGTTGGAAAATGTGGCAGGAAAAGGATCACTACTCCTCTTACTGACCGTAAAACCAGGGACATTTGTCTCAAAAATCGTAAAGAGTGTGGCATATCTGACTACGATGATAAATACTGAAGGAATTAATGTTTCCAGAAGAACAGTTCGACGAAGACTTGTCTAAGAGAATCTGATAGGTCGCTGACCTATGAAAAAAACCACGGCTCACCGAAGCTATGAAGAGAAAAAGACTCCAATGGTCTAAGCAGCAACGAAGTATGACTGTTGAAGACTGGAGTCGAGTAAGTACAACTTTTTTTATTGAATGGAGTTTAATGAATGGAGTTAAAGAGAATGAAGGGACGTTTTACATCTGGGTCAAGCCAAAAAGTGTCCCAACATGTTTATCTACCGACTCAATGAGCGAAAAAGAAAAGGGTAAAAACTACTACCTTTTGTTTTATTCTTCAAAGCAATCAGAGACTGTAACAGTATCGGAATATATTAATGATTTGATTATCACTAACAACTTTAAACTTAAAATAAGTGATAGAATTCCATTTTTACCAACAATTCTGGCCTATCCAGATGGTAAAGTACCAATTAATAAAAAAAATTGAGATATATGCAGGTCATGGACTACATACCAGAGGAAAAAAGTCATTTTTTGAAGAGATATGCAGTGTCCTACTACTGATACAATTAATGATGATTAATGCTTATACTTTGTTGGACAGACAATAAAATTTCCAAAGATTTTATTTTATTTCTGTTCTAAAAAAACTTAAGTCACTTTTTTTAAAACCATAATATGACAAGAAAAAACAATTTTTACAAAAAATATGTGATGCATAATATTATTGCAACAATTAATTTTAAAGCAGTCTTGCAGTATTTTAAAACAGTTTTTTGTGATTTACTTAAAACTATAATTTCTGACTCATGTTATTTCTGAAATGACAGATTCTTATAAAGTCGACGATAATATTGTGATATTTTTAAAACATAAAGTGTCCCAATAGTTTAAACATTTTTAATCCTAGTGTAAAATATACAAATATAAGTTTTTAAGCGCATAAATAATCATATATTACATACCTTCTGGTCTAGCTTTTGGTTTCTGCAAGCCAACTTCCTCCATAAGTTCAAAGGCAAAATTAACATTATGTACTTTCTGTTCAAACTCGTGGGGAGTCAGATGGAAACTGTAATGAGGAACAAAGAAACCTTCTAAAAGTCCCATAAGCATGATCAAGTAGACACCATCATGGAATTGGCTCTCTATTTCAGTAACTTCAAAGTTCATTTTGTTCAGATGTTTGTTCACAAAAGTTACCAACGACTAAAAAAAATAACAATTGATGAAAATTTCTTTCATAAATAAAATCTGAAAAATGCTTCTTTATAGTTTTATAAATGTTTCAGGTCATTTATCAGGAAACTATTAAAATGTTGCAAAAGTTCTTTAAATATATAAGCAAAACATAGTTCATCTGTTTAAAATGCAAAAATATATATATTTTTTTGACAGTGATCACGTTCTCGTTAACCTTTCGGTAAGATTTTGCACATGTAAGAGTTGCGATTGAAGAAGATCGTCGTTTGACCACGCACAAAATAGAAAGCGATCTTTGAATTCAAAAAACTTCTAACTAAAAATTTGAAAATGACTTGCGTGTGAACAAAATTGTTCAACAGCAGAGCAGAAAAAATTCATTCATACATGTCAAGTTTAAAAAAATTCTTCATAAAGGAATCTTCCACATAAATGTCTATTATATTGAATGTTTTTTGTAATTATGTGGTAGATGTTGTTCACCATGAATACGTGTTTGAGTTCTAAAAAGATTGTGTTCCATTATTGATCAAGCGGCGACTTATTTCTTCATCACGATAATGCACGAGCACATTCATCGAACCTAGCAAGCAGCTTTTCACAAAAAACGCGCTTAAACAACTACACCAGTCTCTGTACAGTCCCAACATAGCATGTTGCGACTTTTTCATCTTTCACAAAAACTGAATTGCAGAATTGCTTCTGATACTTAAAGCTCCGATGGGAGCATTTTTTAAAGTCGAATGGAGATTACTTCGAAGGACGCCACATGCTAGATGATGAATAATAAAGTATTGCGAAATTATATGAACAAATGTCAGGATTTTTTTTTGAAATGTCTGTTGTAAACCGGTTGTACTGCAACCAGTTATCTTAGTGTGTTCGCTTATCTTCCATTCACCCATGATACCCATTCCACGATTCTGTAACCCTGTACCGTTTGTACAGGTCTAGAGGATAGGTAACATGTTTTGGAGTGACTTGTAGTATCGAAAACTTTTTACCATCTGCAATCTAATGCCTCACAGTACTGCAAGATATGGTTGACTGTTCCAGGTCCTCTGTTCCACAGTCTCATCGCCTGTTTTATTGCCACAAAGAATATAATTACATTTTAAAACTAGATTTCTTCTCTAGACACAAACATTTTTGGTGGGTACCTTTATACTTTTACCCTTCATGGACCATTCTTATCAGATTTTGATATAAATGATTTTCTGTTGTACTAAAATTATTTAGATTTTTCTTTTGTGTAAATTTTTGACAATCTAATTAGCAAGTTAATTAGCATTGATCGGGTCTGATATTTTTAAAATCTTCAAAATGAGTATAACAAGTTAAAAAATACTTGATGATATCATGCTTACAAAAGTTTCAACATTAAATATTGATATCTTTGTGTTTTTTTCTTGTTGCAATGAATGTATTCCTTTCATTTGCACCAAGCATATTTCCTTTTGAAAACATAATTATATACATTGGAGAAATTTTTAATATTTATTAATTACAAACAAATTATTAATTAGAATTTAAGATTTTTAGTAGAACTATTGTTCTGCTTTTATTTTGACATGTGTTATGCTACTGGATATTTATATGATCGTGTTTCACTTGGAACTCTTCGATTAGTTTATATTTTTCTTGCATCCATGTCTCCTTAGCTCTTCGTATTTCTTTTTTAATTTTTTGGTTGATTTCTTGGTATTTCTGTTTTTCTTTCCCAGATGTTCTTTTCGCATATGTTGCATGACACCTTTGATATAACTCCATTTTTGTTCTACACTCTGTTCTTGTTGTTTAGCAGTTTCTAGTTTTTCTCTCATTACATCTCTTACATTCTGACAAATTACGGGATCTTTTAGAGTGTCCTAATCCAGGTTTTGTTTAGGTTTACTTTTGATGAGTTTCTTTAGTTTGAGTTCTATCTGGCCCACTAATGGGTTGTGGTCTGATGAGACATCTGCTCCTGGGAAAGTCTTCACCGAGGTCAAGCTGCTCTTGAATCTTTTGTTAATGAGAATAAAGTCTATCTGGTTTCACAGTGTTTAAAACACTGTTTTAAAATAGAAAATAACATACTAGTACTGGATTGTTTTGTAAGTTTTCAATAAATATTATAAATTCTATAACACCATATTATTTCCTAAATACTTTATAATTTATTATATGTTTATTATTCATTATATGATTGATTACCTTTTTCACAACTTGTAGTTTATCAGGTGCATGATCAAAGAGTGTATCAAAGGCATCTCTCTCACATCTCATACCAACATCATCATAAGCTTTTGTCAAACTTTCTCTCACTGTCTTGTGCACCAATCTGCCACTAGCTTTCTGAACTACCACAACTTCAACTGAAACATGTTCTGGAAGCCTTACTGGAGGTCTAAAATGCCTTGCTAGAGCTACCAATAGATGTGTTATAGCTACTATGTTCTTCGAGTGAATTGATTCTACATTCCATTTGTTATGAGATAACCTTTGGATTCCCAAAACCTAAAAAATAGCATATAATGAGAAATAAATAATATTCTTCAAAGTATACACAAAGTTACCTTATTAAAATGATCCAAAACTACCATTAGTTTTTGCTTTTGTCCTTCTTCAGATTGAGTGACTTCAGGGACATCAAATTTATCCCCTGTAAGCTTTTCGAGTAATTTTTGTAGTACTTGTCCATCATACAAGTCTTCAGATAGATCCTGAACAATAATTCTTTGGGAAGCAAGTTCATCATTTATCCATTCTTTTAAAACATTAAGTAAGTCATAAAATTTAGGGTCATCATATGCTCGAGGGTCTATCATACATCTTTCTTCATTATCTTCTGCAAAACAGATGTGAGTTATAAACATTATATCATTTGCATGTATTATAACTTACCAAGGTTATAGTCTTCTGGGGGTATAATAGGAGCAGTAGGACAACCTGGAGAATCGATAGCATGTTTCCCTTCTGCTTGTACTTCTTGAACTAGAAAATAGGACAAAATTGTCAGAAATTGATTTTAATTTAAATTACCTTGGTCTATTTATCCAAATTGTCAACAATCATAACCATATAAGGATACATGCTCTAATTTATAGTTAGTACAAGCAAACAATACCTACCTTCTTTAATTCGTTTTTTACGACCTAAAGTACCAAGTTTATCCCATATAGTTTCTTCTTTCTCGCCTTTTAATGGAACTGGGCGAGGAGATTTTGGTCTTAAAGTAGCCATGTCTTCGTTTCGTTGGGAGGCTCCACCTACTGTGTTGTCTCCGTCCTTGTCTTGTTCTCTATCCTTCTTTCTGTGCAAGGCTAAAAAAACATGTCAAAAATTGGATGTGTTTAAGTTGTCGCCAACGTAAATTTAATTTGAAAAATAAATACTGTCAGATTCTGGTGGGTATTCATCATCGAGCAAAAAGACAATAGAGGGAATGTAAAGGTAGTGGGGGCAAACATTATTGTTAGACAGGAAGTGCGATCTTTAGAGGCCACATTAAACAAGGAAAGAGAGTCTCTCTCCTTGTTTGACATCAAATTTAGTTGGGTTATGTTATTGTTTGTCCCAAATGTCACATGAAATCGTATTTATATTGAAGTTTTTTAACAATTGTGTCGCATTTTAGACTCTAATCATTAATAATTAATTAAAACTTTCTCGTCTAAGACACATTCTGCGAAATATTATATAGCTACTTTTGATAAGTGTCGGAAAATTTAAATTTGGCGCATTCGCATTTCCGGATATGTCCGCCATCAGAGGCCACTTTTTGGTCTCCTTTTCATAAGGATTAGATTCCCTCTTTTGTCTTATTGCTCGATGGTATTCATAAAGAATAAAATGATCAACAAAAAAACTGGCTTTAAATAGATAATGAATAAAGAAAGACTGTGTTCTCCTTAAAGGGACCAGAAAATGAATGGCCCACCTTTATTTGATAGCTAATTTAATTTAAACATACTTTATGATAAGCAAATTATATTAAATTTTAATTAAATACTATGTAACAAAAAGATTTTATCTGTATGTCATTAAAAAGGTAAAATTTTTATTTAAAGATAGCAACAACAACAATTTATAATGGGAAATAATACAGCTGACACAAGAGAAGAATGTAATGCAAGCAGAAGGAAAACAAAAATGGCTACGAAATAAAGAAGACATCAAAAAGTATGAAATATAATGCCCTAAGAATAAAATATAACCGTTCATAAAGATATAAAGTTGAAGAAGGAAGATTTCTAACCAGGAACATCCATCTGAAAAAAAAAAAGAGATGATAGGACCAGGCCCGTTCCTAGGGTAGTGAGCGCCTGCGTGCAGGATTTTTTGTGCGCCCCCATATTATGTTTTTAAGATACCTATATCATAACATGTTCTTGTGATATGATTAAAAATATGATATGAATGTAAAAAGAAAAATAAAACGAATCATGTTTGAAAAAAGGTTTTATTTTCAAAATTAAATGAAGAAAGAAGGTCATTTTAAAACAATATTATTATGTAAGTTAACAGTAAGAAAGAAAACACTCAATTCGCAAATTAATAAGGCATTCTGGAATATAACATGAAACAATAACGGAAAGGAGATACTCTCAATGCAAAAAAACTTTTGTTTACCAAGTGAAAAATAAAACAAATATTGGAATTACAACATGACACGTCATGCTTTCACAGAAGCAAGCTCATTATCATTTCATTGTGATCAATGGCTTCACAAATTTTATTTTTAATTGAAATGACTGCCAAATCTGATAGCCTTTCTTGGCACATTGACGTTCTTAAATAATTTTTTATGAGCTTTAGCTTTGAAAAACTCCTTTCGCCAGATGCCACCGAAATTGGAAGGGTCAGGAATATTCTCAAGGCTATAAATAGATTTGGAAACAAGGATTGTAAATTTTTCTTTGTTATATAATTTAAAATATCTATGGGCGAATCCGAAATTTTGCCAGAGTCTGTGATTGGGTTAAGAACTTTGTATGACAGAATTTCATTATGCAAATCAAGACCATCAATATCTTTGCATACGTTTCCTGCATGTTGAATTTGTAAAGCTAAATCCAAATCCATACATGATCTTTTAATCACATCAGAATCTAGATTTTGAAAATTACCCAAAAATCCAAATAAATCGTGTAACTTATCTATTCCCCCAAAGCGTCTTTGTAGGGATTAAATTGTGTCCAAAATTTGAAAATAAAAACTGATCTTAAATTTTTGTTGTGGATCGAATACTGTTTCATCTGTATCTTCATACGAAAATTGAAGCTTCGTCTTTCTTTATCTTAATAATGGAAATGTTTGCTCTACATCACTTTTTTCTACTTCTGCTACAGCCTCATTCATGAAAATCTCGAAATGTTTGTCTAACCTTTTTTCAGTGAAATAAATAATAAGATTTTTTATTTCTGTATGGCATTCATTTAAAGTTGTATTTGGATTCTGGACCATTTTACTTACTATATTAATTTTCGTTAACACATCATGCCAAATTATAATAGAAAAAATGAATTTGAACGTTTTAGTTTTGTCTCATAGTGACGTTGCTGAATGTTTCGTGTTCATATTTCTTGAATTATATTCCACCAAATCATGTAAATTTTTCCACATTTCGAGGAATTGAAACCTAAGAGGGCGAATGGCTTTGACTCTGCTTTCTCATCGTGTTTCACTTACTGATTTTAAAGTTAAGTTTGGTACATTCCTTTTTAAAATGTCCCATTTGTAGGGTGAAGTAGAAAAAAAATTGAACAACTCCTAAATAATTGAAAAAAAACCTGCAGTTTCACATGAAATTTTAGCTGCATCATTGACACTTAAATTAAAAGTGTGAGCTGAACAAGGCAAAAACATTGCTCTTGGATTAATTTTTAGAATCTGAGCTTGAAGGCCCACATGCTTGCCAGACATATTTGCCCCATTGTCGTAACCCTGACCTCTCATGTTATCAAGGTTTATTTCAAATTTTGATAATATTTCTTCTTTTAAAAAATTGAAAAGCCCTTCTTCTGTAGCATTTAAAACTTTGAAAAAACCCAGAAAGTGTTCTCTAATTTCGACTTCATATGGAGAACAATAAACGAAGCGAATTATGACCGTCAGCTGCTCAACATCGCTACAACTGGAGATTCATCCAAAATAATTGAGTAATATTTTGCTGTTCTGGGCAGAAATTAAACAGGTAATCAATTTTTATCTGAAAATCAGAACAGTCGCAAAAGGTGAACTTTCCAACTCTCAAAAATGTCATAAGTGATGTTTTACGTATATGGTTGTAAATAATAGTATATTATATACATTCACAATATATAATATTATACACTGAGTTGAAGTGTTTAATTCTTAACAAGAGAAAAACATGGTTTACCGAGGCGTATAGCGTCGAGACAGGAATGAAATTTTTTCACCGAGGTTTGTATAGGTACTGTTTTATTCAGAACCATATCTTTTAAATGCAAATTTTAAAAAAAATCTAATAAAATTTAAACAAACATTTTGGTTATTCGTAGGATGTTAAAATTTACCTGGGTGGAAAATTAATGTCATACACTTTTCATCCGGGTAAATGTCACTTTCCTCCTGGATAGATTTTAAAACTAGAAATTTGGTTTTTCAAACTTTTATAAAAGGTCTTCAATGTCAACATAACATACATGGTTGTAAATAAACATTGATACTTAACTGACCCGAAGAATAATTTTAAGGTTCTTAAACTGTTAAATTTTACTACTTTACTTATTTATTTTTATTTTATTTAAATAAATAAGTTAACTTATTTTACTTACTTTAAGCAGTTTATATGCCGCCTTAAACTTACAATAAACTTGATGTATTTACAATAAACTTTAATGGTAATGATATTGCGAACAGAACATCCTAACCCATAAGGCAAAATCTAACGACTGAATTAAAACGTTACGGTTTGCTGCGCAAACGACAATTTCGTCCGAGGCGGGCGCATCGCGCAACTTTTCTTAAGACAACCACGCGGGCGGCATGCCGGCAACACAAAACATTAAAAGTGAGTGGCGTGCGGCATTAGATGGCGCGTCGTATGCTGACACTAATAAAATTGTAGGGTGGTAATTTAATTAGTAATTTTGGTATTATAATAGTGAATAGCAAACGGATGAAGTGATTGCTTTAGCGCTTACCGGGGAAATACTGAACACTGACTTTTTTTTGTTTTAGAAGTAAGAATATTTTTGTAACGGTAACCAAATATTTGGCGCCCCTAAAATTTAGCGCCTGCGTGCGGGGCATTCATTGCATACCCGCCAGGAACGGCCCTGGATAGGACTTGATAAAAGAACCAATAGCAGATGAATAAGAACAAGAAACAAATCGAAAAAGAGAAACTTAGTCTACCTGAAGAATTATAAGACATTCGAAGATTTCATGAAGGAGTTTACAAAAATGCTACTAAAATAGAATAGAAAGCTATTTCTTAAATCTTCAGTTCAAAATGCTCTGAAAAGATGACATGCAATAAAAAGAGCACAATATCTTTGTAATCTAATCGAATAAAATGCTGGGATGACACGTCATGCAGTTTGTCCGGCACGGTAACTCCTAGCGCCTCCTAGGAAAGAAATCTGAACTATTAACTGAGATTTCGATTATATTTTGTTCTGGAAACGATACCGTTGACTTCTTGCTAATTCATTCTACAAATTGATGATTCAAAAATCCTTACTAGTAAATTTTACTCCTTACTCTGTAATTAATTTTTTTGCAAATTTGCTCAAAATATAGGTTACTGTAATTGTCAGATAAGATTTATTGAGCACAATAATTGATAGCCTTATGTTAGGAGTAAAGGGGCTATACCGTTTCTGCTTAATTTTCCATAATAAAACGCTAAGGTTCATTCTGCTCACTATTTGAGTGTTTTGTGGTGGAGGTAGAATAGTTCGTCAGATTGTGACGTATGATACATTATTGGAAAGGAGAGAGGGTAGCGAATATGTTGGGACAGAAAAATGCACACAGCGGCATTGCTAAAAGGGTATTACATTATAATCTCCATTGTTATTGGTCGGATTGGAGTATGTGATGTGTTCATTGAAAAGGGAGTATAAAAAGAATATATTAAGATAGAAAAAAACAAGGCGACTACCAAAATATAATTACAAGTATCTTTTAAATAAACCATTTAAGAATGACGTTTATTTTTTATTTTTAGTAATTACCTAGTCCTAGTCAATTAATAAATTAAATTATCAGTTGTTTATTGATTTTACCAATCCAGAGGGCATAGCAACGACATGGAAACAATATTGTGAAATGTTGTTTTATAGTGACCATGAAGACGGGAATCCAGAAGAAATAAATACGAAAAGGAACCACATATTTTAAAATCGGAAATAGAAACCGCAAAAAAAAATTAAAAACTGGAAAATTTCAAGGAGAAGACGGAATTAGGGCGGAAGCACTTAAAGTAATGGGAGACATAGGAATTGAAGTAATGTTCAAACTGTGTAATGAAATCTGGAATACAGGACAATGGCTAGATGATTGGTGTAAGCTCACTTTCATACCCATGTATAAGAAAGGCTCACCAACTGACTGTAATAACTACCGTACTATAGCCCTGATCTCCACACAAGTAAAGTTCTGCTAACTATAATTAACGAGAGATTAAAATTAATAATTCTACCACAGATCCCACAAGAACAATGTGGATTTGTCCCTGTAAGTGGCACACGAGAACAAATTCTCAATCTCAGACAAATTATAGAAAAATCTAGAAAATTTAATCTAGAAACATATTTGTGCTTCGTCGACTACTCGAAAGCGTTCGATAATGTAAAGTGGCATAAAATGTGGGGAATACTGAGAGAAATTGGTACCCGCAAACATCTAATATACCTACTGAAACAACTGTATATCAACAACACAGCAAACGTAAAAGTCAACATCATATACTCCGATAATTTTAAACTAAAAGCCGGTGTTCGTCAAGGATGTATTATCTCTTCCACGTTATTCAATATATATAGTGAACACATCATGCGCATTGAATTCGACGGATGGCAAGGAGGAATATCAGTCAGAGGCCGAAAAATCAACAATCTCCGCTATGCTGACGACACTTTAGTACTCGCATCATCAAAAAATGACCTTGAATACATCATGAACAGACTAGATACTATTAGTCGTGAATATGGACTTAAAATTAATGCACAGAAGACCAAGGTAATGATAATCGATCGAATTAGAAATAACCAGCCGGAAAAACGAAACGCAGCGGGGTTTGACGTGGTAAGACGGTTCAATTACTTAGGTTCTGTTATCACAAACAATGGTGGATGTCAAGAAGAGATATGTCGATGCCTTACAATGGCCAGATCAGCAACGGTCAAACTAAAATCTGAAAAGATACAGACATGACCAGAAACACCAAACTGCGCCTAGTACGGACGCTTATCTTTCCTATCGCTACCTATGCGTCAGAAACCTGGACCATTAAAAAGTTTGGCTTATAATGGCCTTTGAAATGTGGGTATATCGTAGAATGATGCGCATCTACATGAAGGCATGGAGAGGTTGGTGGTTGAAGGCAAGGTAGATGGTAAAAGAACTCGAGTAAAATCGCCACTCCGATGGTCAGACCAAATAAAGTGCGCTATCGGTTACTCTCTATCTGAGGCAGCACACCGCGCCCAGGAGAGAGAAGAATGGATAGCAACCATTCGTGAAATACCATAACGTCACCACTTCCTTGCGAAGGATAAAGGATAGAGGAGGAGGATTGATTTTGTAGCTAAGAATTACTTATATTTGTATTTCCAATTTAATAGCATGTCAGTGCAATCATATTTAACAGAAGAACATCGTCCTATGTCGTGTAACCGCAAGTTTGCATCTTAGGTGATGTTCACTTCACACTATCTATAATATTTGGACTATGTTCACTACGGAAGTAATCATAATCCATCATATGTATGTATCTACTTTTAGTATTGTATATAACTTTCAGAAAAAGTTCTTTTTTTATCCTATATATTTTAATTCAGTACATTCCAAGTATAATACGTTAATCCAGGAATAGAAAAATTAACCCGGTTTTATTTATTTATGGCAACCATAGACATATAATATATTTGATGTCGTAGTTTTAGTTGAAATATAGATTAAATTATTTCAAATTATTAACCTCTTAAAATTTAAATTACGGTCCTGTCGTAGCTTGTCACATATTTATCAATCCGAGCCTGTGTTTTCCGTTTTAAATATGACGATCGCGTGTTGAGCTGACACACTTCAAAGACGGCATCTGAGAGTGGGCATTCTGATTTCTTATTTATTTTGTGACTATATAAGTAATCACATCACACAAATTAAAAAACAACCAGGGGAACGTACTTATGTAATTAAAAATCCATGTTATAATGGAATTATGTTCGATATATACAAAAAATGAACAACACTGGACAAAGCAGACCTGAAACCGGATAGACTAAATAATGCGAAAATATCAACAACCGAAACGAATGGACACACCCAAATCACGCTTACATCCTATCATGGATTAAACAGCTGACGCTAATCCAAAATTAAACATAGGTTATTATTAAACTCACCTTTTAGTAGACCAACTGATCGTTCTTCCTCCTCCTTTATTTCTGTCATCATAGTTTCTTTACCCATATGGCCATCATTTTCCCATGCATCACTACTATTTCTAGAATCATTGGAAGGAGGATCATGTAGTACTACATCTTTTTTAAAACCAATCTCAAGTTTCTTACTCAACTCTTCTCGTAAACTGGAAACCGAACTTTTTCTTAGAATATCGTGACTTTCATTAGTATTATTATCGTAAACACTAGTACGTGGTGAAGGGGTTTTATGGTTTTCTCCACTGTTATAAATATGTTCAAGTTTGTTTCTAAACTGTTTACTTGCCGTAGGAGAAATATTTCCTTCATCACTATCACTCATCTTAACGTTTTCAAACATAGGCGACATACTATTAGGTTTAGGCTTAGGTGATACCAGAGGTTTTAAAGGCGCACGCATTTGATGTTCTGTTGTCATCATTTCTGTATTATTTACTTCCCTATTCTCGAATACCGGAGATCTAGATTTTAACCTAGGAGAAATTTGAGGTTTCGTATTGGGAACAGGTTTGTCTGGCATTGACATCTGAGATTTTTTCTTACAGTCGACGATTTTAGGCACATCCTTGGATTCCTCAAAAAACTCATCCTCTGGAGAATATCTGGAAGGTGTAAGCGGCGTTTCTATTGAACATTGTCGAAATAATATTTCAGTTTGAGGCTTTTCAATTTGATCTTCTTCCATTTTAGTTAACACTGTTATCCACTGACGATTTTTATTTGAATATGATCTGTTAAGGTAAACAATGAGGAAGCAAGCTTCCGCTTGATAAGAACGCAAACCGCATTGAATCATAAAATTTTATATCTTTTATATTAGATAAGTAAATACAGGTGGAGTCGATATTTATTACCGGGAACGTACACAATATTAATAGTAAATAAATATTAAATATAATCAAATATTTTTAAAGATTCATTACTATATCATAAATTATGATGTCTGATATTTATAGTAGAGAGTCCAGCAGCGTACCTTTTTAGAGGTTATCAAAAATATAAGTATATCCTCCTCATTATTAATTAATCTTTATTTAGACGTCGTATTAGAGTGTGGATGAGAACATATCCATAAAAGGACTAGCAGTAATAGATAAACGTATGATTCAAGCGTTAAACTGTAACATTTATGAAAGAATACAGCTGTTTAATGGTATTTTAAAAGGCAGCAAATAAAATGGTTTGTTTAAATGTAGCACCATCATCATCACGCCATTCTGCTCTGTCCCTTACTCCCTACTTGGATTTTCCAGTTGGAAAAACCGATGTTTTCAGCATACTGTGTTACCCGTCGATACACCTCAGCTTTGGTGTGCCTCGTCTTCTTATTTCCACCGTTAAAATAATGCGCTGTTAAAATCTTTTTATCATGTTCGATTGCTCATTACAGACGACGGTTTTGCTTGATAATAATAATTGGTGAGTATTTTACAGCTGGCGCCGTTTCTCCCATCCTAACTTCCAGCGTTTTCTGTCGAAGCAATCTTCAGTTTTTAAATCTCTGGCCGTCATTGCATCTTCTCTCCATGACAGTCTTGGTCTACCTCGTTTTCTTCTAGTGGGCGGAGTCCATCTTTTTCGGCCATCCACTTTAAGGCATTCTCTGCAGGTGTCCACCATACCAGTTTAGTGTTTTGGCCTCGATAGTATCTATTATGTCTAGTTCAATTTCCATTTCTCTTCTAACGTCTACGTTCCTCACCCTATCAAGTCTAGTATGCCGGCAACATTGTCTCCAATAGTCCATTTCCATTGCCTTAATTTTGCGCAATACTTTCTATTAATGTTTTATAAATTCTTCTTTTATTTTCTTTTGTTATTTTATTATTCCACAATAGTCCGTGTAGCTGTCTAGTGGATGATTGCTTGGCCAATCGTAGAATGTATTTCTTCGTTACTCCCTGCTTTTAATTTTATTTGGACTCACAAGTATTTGAAGGTTTCAGCTGATTATATTGTTACTATTTCAATTTGTAGGCTTTCCGATTTTTCTCCTGTAACTAAATACTCGGTTTTTTCATATTCATTGTAAGAGTCCACTTGGTGCACTCCTCCTTCAGTTCTCTAAGCATATAGTCTATATCGGTTTCGTCTTTAGCTAGAATGGCTTGGTCGTTAGCAAAGTGTATCGTGTACAATCCCTCGTCTTCAATTGGAATGCCTAAATTGCAGCATTTTTTCTCCACACTGAGAGCGCGTCATTCAGATATATTTTGAAGAGTGTAGATGCTTATCAACAAGAATATCCCGACATGAACACAATTAATAAAGAAATGCAACGAAAGCTATTGAAAGCAGGATTGACTGTTGCAAAGAAAACGAAAAATAAAGAAGACCGAATAAGTGAAGGAACAAAACGGTTGATGGAAAAGAGACACACATTTCTAAGCGAAGGAAAGCGAATCACCAATGGTAAGAATTGAATAAACAAATAAAGAAGAGGGTAAAGGAAGATTTAAGAATCTATAATGAAAACAAGGTAGAAAAGATAATAGAAAAGAACGATTAGGCAAATCGATATTTTTTCCGTTTTCCCCCTTTACGAAGGTGCGTTTTAGGGGAAGCCAGGAGTGAAAGTGGTAAACATTTTTGTATATTTTTTGGGGTCCCAAAATTAACATTCTCAGCCAAATTCAACATGTTCGTTAAGATTTATTGACATTTTTGCCTTTTTCTCGTTTGTTTACATATTTCCCCATCCCAAAAATTTGATTTGGAAAAGTTGTGCAGATTTTTATCACCAATATTTTGGACGCGCGGTTGCCAACGAATAGGTCATTGTCATCGTTTTGGGGGTTCGCCGCTATTATACGTTTTCTGTTCCTTTTTTCATGGAATTATAAACATAAAATAATAATATCTAGTACAATTTTTTTATATTTTATTAAAATAAGTATAATCTGAAGATATTATAAAACATGTCAATTCATAAAAATCATTATAAACTAAAAATATGTAAAAAACTAGCTAAAAATGATACAATTTATTTCAAGAAGTATTAATTAAATAACGAAACTACCCCTCATATTTTAGGGCACTTGGGATTCTTGTAAACTATTTTCACTCATGCTACTAGATAATCCAGATGAATCCCTGGTATTATTTGTACTTTGGACGACACTATCAACTTCCATCTGGTTCGAAGGTTCGTTGTCTACAACTGAAAAATATAATTAAATGCAAATTAAAACGAAAAAGATAAATTTAGTATACAGTGGTGAGTGCCTTATCATCCGGCTTTTTAACGTAAGAGATAGAAAACACAGTTACCTTGAAAAATAAAAGGAGATGAAACTCCTAGTAGAGGTGGGAAATAATCGATAGAAACCTATAATTTACATTACATTACATTACGACTATCGATAGTCTCACACCTTTAGAAGTTAGCTTCGATCTAAATCACCTCGGTCATAATTATTATGTTTTGACAGTTTGACATCGTATGTGTGACGTATTTCCATTTTTTAATTTAGATAAAGTAAAAATTGATTGACCACAATAAAGCAAAAATGTGAATAAAATAATTTAATTAATAGTGATTACTTATTCTAAAGTTTTAAATTATTAACCAAGAATAATTTCTACTATGATTTGAGGAGTTTCATACACTCTTGTAACGGAATAATTAGCAATCCTTCGTGTATTAGTGGTAAGAATTAGACACTGCGACGCAGACGATTAGAGTTCAAAACCTACATGATGTTTTCTTTTTTTAATTATTTGAAATTATGCAGATATCGTTTTGCTTTGAATCACTAAACATTTATGTCAGTCGTTACTAGTATTAGAAGTGTTTAAAGTTAAACATATATATCTTATTGAGAAAATAGTGTCGTCGTACTTTCGAAAATAAAGTAAAAATTCTTCAAAATTAAAAGAATGTTTAAATAATTAAAAATTTTACAAAAATAAAAAAATACTGTAAATAAACGTATCTACATATGTTCAAATAAGCCTTCATTAGATTGAATTGTTGATCGTGATGGAGCCGGCCTATTTGGAAACATTACAAATTGTTGTCTAATCACGTTGTCTGAGAATCCATTCACATGCCAGACAAAAATTTGCACTTTTTCCTCGACCGTTAAACCATTTTCACGAATTGTTTTTTCAATAAAAAGTTTCTGTTTACCGTGCAAAAACACTTCTCGGTATGTTATTATTTGATGGCTTAAAGGCTTCGCTTCGCGCGCAATCATTCCAATGTTGTCAATTGTTTTGAAAATCATTACCTGTACAGAGGAATTGGTATTAACACTAAGAATTTAGTATTGGATTTGATATAAAACAGTCATTACAATCATAAACAGAATTATTTTGTATTTCCGTTTTATAACATTGAAATAAGAATAAATTGTAAATAATGAGTTTGTTGAAAACTTGTTACCTAATATGTATCATCATTTTTATCATTTTTTGATTGAGTAAAACAAAAATTTTATCCTAGGTGTGAATTGAACCCCAAGCTTCTTGTCAATAGACCACGTGTCTAAGCATTACACCAACTCCACATATCGTTTTCGGACAGAACATACCTACCTTAGTTTAGTCAAATATTTCAGTTTAGTTATTTTTATTATTAAATAAACTTAAAGATTTATAATTTAAAATCGTTACTAATTAATGTTTTTACTATAGTATATCTGAATTTATTCATTCTAACATTTATTTATTCTAACATCATTTATTCTAACATCTGAAATTATTAAAAAATTATATTTTCGAGGTCATCCGTATAATTATGACTGAAGTCAAATAGCCACGTCTAACGTCTAAAGGTGTGAGTAATGTAATGTAAATTATAGGTTTCTATCGATTATTTCCCACCTCTACGAATTTCATCTCTTTTTATTTCACAAGGTAACTGTGTTTTCTATCTCTTACGTTAAAAAGCCGGGTGTTAAAGCACTCATCACTGTATAATTTACCACAGTTAATAAAAAATAAACATAATTATTAATGTAGTAATACACTTTATTATTATTAGGATGCTTTCGACAAACTTAAACATAACTCATGGAATGTCTAAAGAAAAAAGGACTCGACAAAAATGACATGGAACCAACAGCTGTGGTAACATTAGATGGAAATGACACGGATGCGCAACAGATAAGTAGAAGAGTGACACAGGGCTGTGTACTTTCACCATTACTATTTAATATATATTCCGAAGAGTTATTTACGCAAGCACCTGAAAACTGTAGAGAAGGGATCAAGATAAATGGTGAACATATAAATAACATCCGTTATGCTGACGATACAGTCATTATCGCTAAAAGTGAGACAGACCTGTAGACGTTACTAAACACAATTTGAGATACTGGGGAACAGTTTAACAATAAACATAAAGAAAACAAAAAGGAAGATCGTAAAATAGTTTCGAAACACAATTCAGATTTCTGCTTTTATCTGTGCTTTCTAAAAATTGCAAAGCAAAACAGACGTTGATAAAGGTGTTAAAAGAGACGTGGGGAATCTAAAATTTGCATTCCACGACACATCTTTTCAACTAAGCAGAAATCCTTAGCGAATTGGTTTCTTGTACTCGTACAGAGTAAATCCGAAAAAAGTGAAAAAGACAGCAAATATTTGATTTCACGCAAACAGCGCCTTTGTATCTGTTGATACGTATTTCGACCTAATAGGTCTCATCAGAACAGTTATTCAAAGGTGTTCTCAACGTGAAAGATCAATATTTTCTGTCTTTTAAGAAGCAACAATAACATGGCTTCGAATACGGACGCACTAGCGACATCTAATTTAACAATCGTAAAATAGTTTCGAAACACAATTCAGATTTCTGCTTTTATCTGTGCTTTCTAAAAATTGCAAAGCAAAACAGACGTTGATAAAGGTGTTAAAAGAGACGTGGGAAATCTAAAATTTGCATTCCACGACACATCTTTTCAACTAAGCAGAAATCCTTAGCGAATTGGTTTCTTGTACTCGTACAGAGTAAATCCGAAAAAAGTGAAAAAGACAGCAAATATTTGATTTCACGCAAACAGCGCCTTTGTATCTGTTGATACGTATTTCGACCTAATAGGTCTCATCAGAACAGTTATTCAAAGGTGTTCTCAACGTGAAAGATCAATATTTTCTGTCTTTTAAGAAGCAACAATAACATGGCTTCGAATACGGACGCACTAGCGACATCTAATTTAACAATCGTAAAATAGTTTCGAAACACAATTCAGATTTCTGCTTTTATCTGTGCTTTCTAAAAATTGCAAAGCAAAACAGACGTTGATAAAGGTGTTAAAAAACTATTTTACGATTGTTAAATTAGATGTCGCTAGTGCGTCCGTATTCGAAGCCATGTTATTGTTGCTTCTTAAAAGACAGAAAATATTGATCTTTCACGTTGAGAACACCTTTGAATAACTGTTCTGATGAGACCTATTAGGTCGAAATACGTATCAACAGATACAAAGGCGCTGTTTGCGTGAAATCAAATATTTGCTGTCTTTTTCACTTTTTTCGGATTTACTCTGTACGAGTACAAGAAACCAATTCGCTAAGGATTTCTGCTTAGTTGAAAAGATGTGTCGTGGAATGCAAATTTTAGATTCCCCACGTCTCTTTTAACACCTTTATCAACGTCTGTTTTGCTTTGCAATTTTTAGAAAGCACAGATAAAAGCAGAAATCTGAATTGTGTTTCGAAACTATTTTACGATTGTTAAATTAGATGTCGCTAGTGCGTCCGTATTCGAAGCCATGTTATTGTTGCTTCCTAAAGACAGAAAATATTGATCTTTCACGTTGAGAACACCTTTGAATAACTGTTCTGATGAGACCTATTAGGTCGAAATACGTATCAACAGATACAAAGGCGCTGTTTGCGTGAAATCAAATATTTGCTGTCTTTTTCACTTTTTTCGGATTTACTCTGTACGAGTACAAGAAACCAATTCGCTAAGGATTTCTGCTTAGTTGAAAAGATGTGTCGTGGAATGCAAATTTTAGATTCCCCACGTCTCTTTTAACACCTTTATCAACGTCTGTTTTGCTTTGCAATTTTTAGAAAGCACAGATAAAAGCAGAAATCTGAATTGTGTTTCGAAACTATTTTACGATTGTTAAATTAGATGTCGCTAGTGCGTCCGTATTCGAAGCCATGTTATTGTTGCTTCTTAAAAGACAGAAAATATTGATCTTTCACGTTGAGAACACCTTTGAATAACTGTTCTGATGAGACCTATTAGGTCGAAATACGTATCAACAGATACAAAGGCGCTGTTTGCGTGAAATCAAATATTTGCTGTCTTTTTCACTTTTTTCGGATTTACTCTGTACGAGTACAAGAAACCAATTCGCTAAGGATTTCTGCTTAGTTGAAAAGATGTGTCGTGGAATGCAAATTTTAGATTCCCCACGTCTCTTTTAACACCTTTATCAACGTCTGTTTTGCTTTGCAATTTTTAGAAAGCACAGATAAAAGCAGAAATCTGAATTGTGTTTCGAAACTATTTTACGATTGTTAAATTAGATGTCGCTAGTGCGTCCGTATTCGAAGCCATGTTATTGTTGCTTCTTAAAAGACAGAAAATATTGATCTTTCACGTTGAGAACACCTTTGAATAACTGTTCTGATGAGACCTATTAGGTCGAAATACGTATCAACAGATACAAAGGCGCTGTTTGCGTGAAATCAAATATTTGCTGTCTTTTTCACTTAAAAAGGAAGATATTGAGCAAGTGGACAAAATTAAATACATAGGAGTCTGGATTACGGAAGATCTGAATCCGAAATCAGAAATTCTCTCAAAAATAGAGCAATCAAGAGCAGCCTTTTTGAAGATGAGGAAATTTCTGAGTAACCAAAGACTCAATTTGCAAATCCGATATCGGATGGTAAAATGTTATATACACTCTATTCTTCTTTATGGCGTTGAAGCCTGGACTGTCAATGTTGACTTAATAAGAAAACTGGAAGCTTTTGAGATGGGGCTTTTTAGGAGAATTTTGAAGATACCATGAACCGATCATATTATGAACGAAATGGTATTGCACAGAATGGGAAGAGACAGAGAACTTTTGACCACCATTAAAAGGCGAAAGACAGCATATTTGGGGCACATACTTAGAAATGATAAGTAATTATTGTTGCAGCTGATTATGAGGGGTAAAATCGAAGGAAAAAGGGGTCCTGGTACACTACAAATATCCTGGCTGAAAAACATTCGCCACTGGACCGGGTTAAACACAAAGGACGCTCTATAAAAAAGCAGAAGATAGAGACGAATTTGCAATGGCTATAGCCAACCTTGATTAGTGGAGATGGCACTACAAGAAGACACACATTCTTTCTACTCACCTTCACTGCTAACATTTTTTTCTGGATTTTTATCTCCAGAATCTCCAGTACCAGAAGTAGCCTCAATCGTTCGTCTAGTCTCTTCGTTGGTCGATCCATGGGACATTCGCTTTTCATTCTGTTTTGTTTGCTCGTCATATACTCTTGGATCTATCGTTATAGACTTCGTGCAATCGTACGTTTTGTAAATTCCTATGAGATTATCGCACAGTTCGAACATGTTGGATCGAAGAGAGATTATAATGAATTGAGCGTTTTTGGTGCGTTGCTGAAATTAATAATTCATCAATTAAGTATTTTATTTAGCGTATGGCTACATCACAGGTTCATATATATACATATAATATAAATTACAAACAACAGTAAATACAAAAATATTATTCTACAAACAAACATCAAGATTATAAATATATTCGATTGACTCTTTTGTAGCAGCCAGGAAATCTGAAGGGTTGCCGTTATAGGATCTAATCGGGCATTCCTCTACCATGTGTTTTACTGTTTGCCTTTCGGCGCCGCAGTCGCAATTTGGTGATTGTATTTTTCCCCATCTAAAAAGTGAGTCGGAACATCTGCCACAGTTCGTCCTTATTCTATTGAGTGTGGTCCAAATTCGTCTCGGTTGGTTGAAGCCCTCAGGTTTGCTTGTAATACATGGCATGTTCCAGTTAGCTGGTGCAGCGTTATTCTCCCATTGTTCTCTCCACCGTTCAGTTACATTAAAGTTTTGATCTACTAGCCTTTTTGCTGTTTTTAGAGGCGGGTGTCTTGAACGGAGCCTATTTATGTCTCTGGCGGAAGTTCCGACATGGGAGCGGAGCTCAGGATCAGTATTGATTTTTGTAAATTCTCTGACAAGGGCATGTTCCCGGCGGATGGGTGGTGGAGCTATATGACTCAAAGCTGGTAACCAGTAAGTGGGCGTGGCCTTGATTGTGCCCGATATAGTTCGCATGGCTTGGTTGAGTTGGACATCAACACGGTGAGTATGTGGACTGTTTATCCATACTGGTGCACAGTATTCCGCTACGGGGTATACCAGTCCTAATGCTGTCGATCTAAGTGTGGGTGCTGAGGAGCCCCATGTAGTGCCGCAGAGCTTTTGCAGGATGTTGTTACGAGTTCGGAGTTTTGCAGCAGTCTTAGTAAGATGCTCTTTAAAGTTCAGCGTTCTGTCAAGTGTAACACCTAAGTATTTTGGGTGTTTATTATATTTAAGGAGTCTATCCCCAAAATTGATTTGAGGTTGATAGTTGGCCATCTTGTTGTTCAAATGGAAGCAGGACACTTCTGTCTTAGTTGGATTGGGTTGCAATCTCCATTTGCGGAAATAATTCCCTAGGGCATTTAAATCGTTTGTTAGAATGCGTTCAGTGACCTCGAATTCTTTATGACTTGCGGCAAGCGTCCAGTCGTCTGCGTATCCAAACTTTTTTGATGTGGTTTCTGGCATGTCTGCTATGTAGAGGCTGAAAAGCATGGGAGCCAGCACGGATCCTTGTGGAAGTCCATTATTCAGTTTTCTTTGGGTACTAGTCTTGTCTCCCAATATAACTTTAAAGCATCTGTTGGATAGCATGGCGTTAATAACCTCAGTGGTCTTTCTGCATGGGATTATTCGCATTAATTTATATATTGCCCCTTGTCGCCACACAGTGTCATAAGCAGCAGATAGATCGATGAAGACAGCGGTTGTTTTTGATTGCTTTTGAAAGTTTGATTCCACATAATTGGTCAGGGCGAGTACCTGGTCTGTGCAGCTGCGGTTTGGCCGAAATCCTGCCTGTTCCACTGGTAAGTGTTGGAATATGGTTTTGCTGATTCTATTATACAACAGTCTTTCGAACAATTTGTACACCATACTTAAGAGTGCGATGGGGCGGTAGTTTTTCGGTGAATTATTACTTTTCCTGGTTTTAAAATGGCGACGATTTTTGCATTTTTGAGTTGGTGGGGGACGTTTCCCGTTTGAAGGATGTCAGAAAAGAATTCTGCGAGCCATTGCCTAGTGAATCTGCCGCTATGTTTGAGGAACTCAGCGTGAATGGCGTCGAAACCCGGCGCTTTTCCTGTTTTCATTTCATTTAGGGTTTGCGATATTTCTTCATGCGTAAATGGGTTGGAATATTCTGTTGACTGTGCATGACTAGATTTTATGGTTTTGAGGTCTTTTTTAACTTTAATTGTATGTAAACGATTTTGAGGTGCTCTAGAGGTTGACACTATGTGCGTAGCTATTTGGACTGGAGTTACTAGGTTGGTTTGGCGAACGGGTGGGTTGCTACTTCCGAGTTTCCGCAGTAGGGACCAAGCTTGTCGACTTGACTTCTGGAAGTCTAGGTTTTCTACTGTCTGTGTCCATTTTTCATCGTCATCAATTAAGTAATAAATAATTGATTAGCTATCTAAACTGCCCCATAATATGATAATAAGGTAGAAGATTCAAGATAAGACTTCTTTTTTCTTAATTTATTTTTTACATGGTCCACACAAAGGACCTTTGGATAGAGAAATTTGGAGAACACTGTTACGCAGTCATATGTATGTATATGTTTTAAATCTTTTCTGCTGCTTTCCAGGGGTTCAAATTAAAGACATTTTAATAGTGACTATGTCATTAACCACATTTAGATGGTTGAATAAGGTTATTTTTTGTTAAATATTATCTTACATTAAAGTGACAAAAATATATAGGGATAATATTATTTATACAATCATCTGAGTGACCAGACTTCCATTTGTTTTCAAAAATCAAAAATGTGACCTTTCCGGATAAGGAAGAAGGTTAGAAACTTTTGTCTGTTTTGAGGTTAGAAACACAAAATTAATAACTAACCGCGCCAGAGCACAGCAATAATCCTTAAGGGGACAGTCTCATGCGAAACTTTCAAAAAATCAATTTTATTTTTTTTATATAAATCGCTTCCATATAGATTCAAAAACTCTCTCCTAAAATTTTAAAAAGAAATTCCCACTAGAATATAAGATAGTTATTTTATTAACGTTATCTACGCACGTATGAAAACCGGTTTCTCTCCGCGCGGCGAGCGCGAGGCTCCAGCTGTTCTTGCTTTATGCTGTATATATGTTGTATATACGTTGGGTATGTATTAGTGATTAATTTTTATATAGTATGTATATCTGTATAACGTTTGGCGTTTACTATACACATTTGAATTTGGAATTTTAAATCCGGAACATAGGATTTTTTTACAAATACTAAGATTCTCTGCGTTGCAATTAACCAGTGTAAATTAGTACCAGTAGTTATTTGTTCCACTGGATTACTTCTCCTTAGCTGTTTATAGTAGCGTATATGGCACGCCGATAGTAGCGTATATGGCACGCCGACAGTGTTGCTCCGTCTACCGATTTTTCCTGAAAGTCCGGTTTTGTGCAGATAATAAATAATGTTTTATTAACATCAATTTTGTTTGTGTTCATTAGGTATTATTTGAGTTATAAAATTTATACTTAAATACATTTATTATTCCAAATATTGTTTATAATTTCAAATTAAAAAGAGTGTAATATAATTATTTTATTTTTAAAATTCCTTTTTATTTTTTATTTTAGAAATCAACTTTTTTTCAAGCCGTTTTGGCAATAAAACATAACTAGTTTTTTTAGTTATAAAATATTTTCATATCTACATTTATAAATAAGTACGTTTTCGTTGAATTGATATGCGATCTAGGTGTGTTCCGTTTTTACACTTATACTGGCAGCATCGCGGCGTGAATTGAGACTCCAGTCGAACATGAACAAATGAATTAATTATAAAACATCGCGACGTTGTATTGAAATTTACAGCTTTACAAAGCCATTTACAACAACTGTTGGATGAAGAGGGTCCTCAATATTCACCAGGAATGGCCGATTAAACGTGAGTATAAAGTTATCAGCCTTTTATTCACAAAAATTATGTAAAAAAAACTTTAAATGCTTTTTTCTCAAAAGTAACATTTTCAAACTGGTCAGACACTTTTCTCCGAACCTTCTTAACCGATTTTAAAAAACCAAAAATTTTTCGAATATACATACAAAATACTAGATAATAAACCTTTAAAATATTTAAAAACCACCCCCCCTTTTATTATATATGGGAAAATCCACCGAAAAATATAGCGATTTTTCGACTTTTTTGAAAAAATTCGTATAAACTCTTAAAAATAATATAATTTGCATATTTTAAAGGTTTATCATCTAGTTTTGAGTCTCACGAATACAACCCATTTTAAATTTTTTGAATATCTGTTACAGGTGACCCACAAAGTGTCTTACCACCAAAAACGCACTTTTTACTACACGCCATCTACAGGACACCAATGAAGTTAAAATCGCTATTAAAATTTTTTTTATGTACTTCAAGACTTACTTAATCATCTCCAAAAGGAATTATGTTAATAAATATTATAGTTTTTTTTTTCTGTTTTAATTTTAAAATGTGTCTTTTTTTTTTAATCGCATGAGACTGTCCCTTAACTGGTCCCGAAACTTGTCGAAAACTAGTCAGGGACTCTCTCTGCGAACAAAGCTATTATTGTTAGAAACATAGTAACGAAGATGCATTTCCATAAAGCGTTCTAAGACTTTTGATGGGGTTGAAACAATAAAAACAAGTATCACATCCGTATATTCAGTCGGTTTTATCACATTTAGGCATTAATACTTTTATACGTTTTCCTATTTATCTTTCAAATATACCCAATACTTCATACTAATTGGACCCTTAATTTAATTTAGATGTAAACTCACATAATTATCAACTTACCTTAATGTAATTTCCAACAATTGACACATTTTTGAAATCTAAGGCTGCGTCAATTTCGTCCATTACATAAAGTGGTGAAGGTTTGTAATAATGCAGAGCAAAGACAAGGGCCAAAGATGATAACGTTTTTTCTCCTCCAGATAAGTTAGAAATTTTCTTCCAAGATTTTTTCGGAGGCCTCACACTGAAATAAGTTTTTTTATATAAGTTTGTAGCTTCCAACGCATATGGTCTGAAGTAATACCTTAGCAATATGGCCATATGGATTAAAATAGAATATGATAGATAGAGAATACTTACTTAAACTGAATTCCCTCTGAAAATGGATCATACGTATCAACCATTTCAAAATCAGCATCTCCACCCAAAGTTATCATTTGATACATTTCCTTTAATTTGAGTTTTATAATATTATAGCCCGTTATGAATTCGTCCTTTCGTCTACTCTTCAAACTTTCCAATAACTGTTTCATTTCTACTCTTTTGTTATTAACTTCTTCCACGTCTTTACATCGTTCTATATAAACAGTCTGCTTTTTTCGATACTCCTACAATTTTTAAAATAAACATATCAATACAGTGGCATCTACACGTTGTCCTGCGGAAATTGTCCAGTGACTTATGTTGGGAGAACCGTGAGCCCATTGCAAATACGGATTAAACAACACTTGACAAATATCGATAAATCTAGTTATGGTCATCATTTACACGAGACCAATCACCATTTTTGTCCCCAAAGAGATAGTAGGATCTTAATAGTGTATGGATACTAGGACATAACATACCTAGTAACAACTATACTAAAATGAACTTACTAGAAGACCTAAAAATTACTAGGAAATTAAAAAAGAAATCCTCAAAGCTACGTTAATACTCAGATTAAATTAAATTAAAATTTGATCATATCTTTAAGAAATTTATTTTGTTTTTCTAACATGTGTTGAGAAACTTAAGAACATTATCCTTTATTTTAACTGTTCTAGAACCTCATTCACTAGTTACTCTAGGGTGATTTTTGATATTTCGTCAAATAGACACCAATTTATCTAACCTTGGTTTTTGTTTTTCATGAAATTCCTTCTAGACTTGGTCAAACAGTTTTTGATGAATTTTTTGATAGTTTTGGATATTTAAATTTTCACTTTAAAATTAACTTCATAAATTTAACCTGCACATGACAACTTAGTCATTTTCAATTTTAATTCTATGATACAGAGGTGGCTTAGTATATTCCGTCCTCATTGACAGTCTTGACATACTTTTGCACAGCTGTTTACCTCGTTTTAACCAGGCAGACATTGGTATACCAAGCACTTCTTAATGTGATTTTTACAACTTTCAAAGGGTATTAATCCCTATAACAAAGGCATTGGTCTTTTAACGTTTTTTGTATTTTGTGTTAACATCTGATGATCAAAAAAAGTGTTGTTTCTCCACGATCATGTACCGGCCCACAAGATCATTATGACAATAGCAACAGTTCATGAATTGGACTTCCAACTCATGAATCCGGCTTATTCTCTTGATTTGGCCCCATCCGATTATTATTTGTCTCAAATCTGAAGAGATGGCTCGTAAATAAGCTAAAAAATAGTAAAAAATAAGCTTGAAAAGCCTTTTTAGTAGATCTTCCAGAATCATAATATTCGGACGACATAAAAAAGTTGGAAAATCACTGAACTCGTTACATTGAACTACAGGAGTCTACATCGAATAAAACAAAAAAAAAAAAATATGGAAAAACATGTTTTTCATTTCAAAACAGGTTACTTATTAGACCACTTGGTAACTTACCTCAATTGCATTCAAATTTGGTTTGGCCACTTTCAGATGGGTTTCAGCCGCTTCCAGTTCCTTCTCAACAGTAGCAGTATCTTGATCTTCTAGTTCTTCGTGGGTATATTTTTTAAGCTCTACTGGAGTTTCATTGGGAATATCTTGGGGTTTCAAATGCGAAATCTAAACAAAATGTGTTACTTTTTAAAAAATCCATAAGGAAAATAAATTCCTGCAGCTGGCTGTATACCATATATCACAAAAAATAGGTTAAATCTTTGTAAGTAGGTATATTTAAAAAACCCTTAAAAGGGCTCAATCAAATTAACAATTAATCTCATTTTAAATTTAATCCCATAGGTTATAACTTTAATTTCTTCAGCCGGAAGATTTTTAACCCTTATTCAATTTATTAGACACACTTATATTAACCTTTTTACCATACGGGCAGTCATAAACAATTTCATTTAAAAACGATGTCTTATATTAGCTACAAATATATTCTTCTTCTTCTTTAAGTTCCATCTTCTATCGAAGGTTGGAAATCATCATGGCTATGCGGACTCTGTTGACTGCCGCTCTAAAAAGTTCTGCACTACTGCATTCAAACCATTCCCTTAAGTTCTTAAGCCAGGATATTCTTCGTCTTCCCACATTTCGCTTTCCTCGGATTTTGCCCTGCATAATAAGTTGTAATAATGCGTATTTTTGCCCTCTCATCACATGTCCCAAGTACTCAAGTTTTCGTCTTTTAATAGTTAATATTATTTCCGCCTCATTTCCTATCCTTCTAGTTACTTCCATGTTTGACATTCTTTGAATCCATGATATTGGTAGGATTCTTCTGTAACACCAAAATTCAAAGGCGGCCAACTTATTCAGATGAACTTGTTTTAGTGTCCAAGCTTCCAGACCATAAAGAAGAGTAGAGAACACGTAACATCGAAGCATTCTCAGGCGTAGTTCTAACCTTATATATATATATATATATATATATATATATATATATATATATATATATATATATCCCGACAACAAAGAAACTTTTTAAGTTTAATAAATGATGTACGTGCTATTTCAATACGTGTCTTAATTTCTTTGGTTTGGTCTACATCTGATGTTATCCATGTTCCTAAGTATTTATAGTTATTAACACTCTCAATTGCAGTATCTTCAATAGTCAATTGGATATTTGTATGTGCAGATTTAGTCATGATCATGCATTTAGTTTTCTTTACAAATATATACAATAAATATTACAAATATTTATTACAATAAAATATTACAAATATATACAATTCAATTTTACCTTGTCCTATATGTGATCAACATAAACGACAATATCATATATCTAAGCTAATCAGTCACAAATTACACTTTTAAACCACACTACATACGACAAAGAGCAACATAGGCTGCCTAATGCATACGTCATTCTCTTAAACATGACCTTTAACCCCATCGGTAATTTTACATCTTTTATATCCAAAATTCAATAATAAAAAACTTTTTTAAATCCCAACACCTAGATTAAAACTTTTGTTAATTTGATGTAGCCCTTTTAAGGGTTTTTTTAAATTATACCTACTTACAAAGATTTAACCTCTTTTTTTATTACTTTTTGTTTTATTTCTCTGTCGTTCTGTTAATTATACTTTCTTTAACAAAATCGTTCAATCAAAACCAAGAATTTCTGAATCGTAAAATTATTTGCGATTTTATAACAAGCTAATTATATAATATTTGTGATAGTTTTACATCTTAAAAAATAATCAATTACTGAAGTCTTAAAAAACCCAAGTAGAGATAGCGTAAACACTCCTAACCACGTCGCAGTAGACGAAATTTGGTTTAGTCCCCACTTCCATGCGAAACGCAGTGTACTAAGCACTGTATAATTCCACTTACAATAGAACCTTTCTGTCTTTGTGTGAATTTTGAGTCCGACTTCGCGCAGCTCCATGGTCAGGAGTGTTTGCACTACCTTTACTTAACTATGCGTACATACCTTCTTTTCCAATTGGTGTATAGCTCCCTTATAGTCAGAAGCTTTGCTATCAAATGTTTTTACCTTCTGATCAACGTCAACTTTATCAGATTTAATCTTATTTTCTTGCTTCAACAAATGAGCAACTTCTTTCTTTACATCTATAAAATAATCGATACATATAAATGAATTTGATATGGACGTAAAAGATATAAACCTACCTCCATATTTTTCTTCTTCCTCGGCAAGCTGTTCGGTAACTTCCTTAACGTAATCCAATAGTTTCTTCGCATCTTCTTCTATTTCAGTACGTTCAGCTTTCATCTGCCTCAATCTGTTTTCCATATCCGTAATATCTTGTTCCATAGTTTTAATCTTTTCTTCAGATTTTACCGTATTTCTAAAATTAACAAGACATCAAAATCATATAATCATAAATAAATACCCGGGTATTTTTATTCCTTTCAAAAGAGATACAACAAAGAAGACACACAATTCTAGCAGTGTAGTCATAGACATAGTCATAGACTTCATTAAGCTGACAAAAATATACTAATGGCTGTATTGCGCAGAAATTTGACATGTATGCCTAAACAAGATCAGTATTTCTAAAACTAATTTTTTTTGAGATCGCAGCTTGCTAATCGGCAAAGGTGGTTACTTATCAGACCACCAGATAATAAATTTTACAAAATAAAAGAGAGTCTAAAATTTTTAAGTTGGTCGTGTTATCGCAGTTATACAAAAATATATCTAATACTTTCGGTACTTTCATATAGTATAGGTGCTGTATGAAGCATCAGGACAATATAGGATAAGAACTAACACAGAGCTCGAAGAACTTTACCCAGACGCCAACATCATAAAAGAAGTAAAGTCCAGAAGACTGTAATGGGCAGGACAACTCAGAAGACATTCTGACGAACGAACAGTAAGACTGGTGTGGGAGGAAGTCCCAACTGGAAGGAGACCACACGGACGCCCTCGTCTCCGGTGGCGAGATAAGGTAGCAGGAGACCTAAGCACTATGGGCTTGGAGAATTGGATGGAGGTTGCTCAAGACAGAAAACAGTGGAGGCATGTTGTGGAGTCGGCTAAAACCCACGAAGGGTTGTAATGCCACGGAGTAAGTAAGTATATAGTATAGGTAATGTTATGAACAGTTTCCCTTTATCACTATTTACAGTCCGACTCTTACAGTTCTTTAATTGGGCGTTCTCGGCCATCCAGAAATGAAAGAAAAACTTCCACTTCATTTTGTTCACCTTTATTGGGGCTACGACGGTTTGTATACGGTTTAAAGTCCTCAAGATTTTTCGGTCGAGACTAGCAACTGAGAGGTCTTCCTTCTTGTATCTTTTTCCTTCTTTTTTTGGCAGGTCGACGACACACAACAGTTTCTTCTAGGTTTGGCCTTGAGTGATTAGTTTCCGCACTGTATAATGGGTGATATTCATCGAAAGTGTTTAACCTTTCTATACATTCAGCACCTATTCTACGTTCTTGCGATAGCGAGAAATCTGTTGTTTTAAATAGTGAGAAGGTTGAGTATCAGTGACCCAGTTACTTTTAGCAAATTGTTTTTGGTGGTAGCTTTTGGTCTTGTATTAGAACTCCTAGGTATTAAGGTTTTTTATTGCAGGAGCTTTTTCCATATAATTTTCTCCTTCATTGTGTGTATTTAGCTTTATAGCTAAGTATCTTTACGCAGGAGTTAAGGGACAGGATTGACCAAATGTACCAATCAAAGCTAATGAACAACTTGATGAAGAACCAAAGAAACTAATCATAAATATACAAACAGCATAGAAAGACCAAACAAATTATAAAAAAACCAAGAGTCAAAATATCCCAAAGAACGTCGAGAACTGGTTCAAAGAAAAAGAAAAGCCAGGGAAACACGGCAAAAAAAAAGAAGTCTAGAAAATAAAAATGTATTAAACAACCTAATCCAACATTTAAAAATATAAATAAAAAATGAATCAATAGATACTGTAAGATGGAACATGGGCACGTGACGAAAAACAAAACGCAATTGAATTAGCTTAATACTTAGATAATGTATTCCAAAATCACGAAATAGAAAATAATCGTAAAGTTGAAAATGATGATGATGAGAGTACTGGCACGAATTTACGGTTAAATTTCAATAAATACCTTTGTGAAGTAGTTACAGCTACTTTAAGTCGGGTTATTTCAGCTTTACACTTATCTACAGTCTTTGTAGCCTCGTTAATATTTTTATCGATGGTTTTCATTTTACCAGAAGTTTTTTCTTTAATTTGCGCGGTAAGATCGTCAACTTGTCTTTGGAGAACTCCAGCTCGTTCACTTGCTTCGTCATATAGTTCTTTTTTTTGTTCCACTATCTTGGTTAATTGTTTCACTTTTGCAGGATCGGCTTTTGTAACTTTGGATTTCTGCTCTTGTTCTTTTAGTTGTTTCTCTAAGACAGGTTTTTGTTGTTGTAAACCCTAAAAAAATGCAAGTAAAGTAAAAAACGGCAAGAAAGGTTTGGTGATTAATTTTGATATATTACCTTTAGTTCCATTGAGAACTTCTCATAGTCTACTTTCATTTGCCTCAATTCGGGTTGTAATGTATTAATTTGGCTTTCCAATGAAGCCTGCTTTTGTCTCAGATCCCGGACCTGCTGCTCCATCTGTTGAATATCTTCTTCCAAATTCTGCAATTCTTTGGGATCTACGTTCGATACACGAACGGACTGACCCATCCTGCCTTTACTTACTCTACCTCCACCACCACTCATGGTACCTAAAACATATACGAATATTAGCGAATATATACGAAGAAGTCATTGGAACCGACATCAGCACCCCAAGAAAACTGAAGAATGGACTGCCTCAAAAATCTGTCCTAGCTCCTCTTCTCTTTAGCCTGTACATCGCTGATATACCAGAAACCAGGTCAAGTAAGTTTGGTTACGCCGATGACTGGGTCCTTGAACAAGGTGTAAGTCATTTGAACAAACAGACGAAAATTGCAGAATTGCACACAGTGGGAAAGTATTTCAGGAAATGAAGGCTTCAACCAAACGCTACCAAAACAGAGGTTTCCAGTTTTCATCTAAATAACAAGCTTGCAGGAAGAACACTCAACATCCAATTCGAAAACACCACACTCGCCTACAATAAAACACCAAAGTACCTTGGACTGACTCTTGACAGAACTCTATCTTTCACGGAACATCTGTCAAAAAAATCCAGAAACAACATCATCCAGAAGCTGTGCGGCACAACATGAGGAGCATCGGCTTCCACCTTGCGAATATGCGGCACATATACACAAAGTAGATGCCCAATTGATCAATAGATCCTGCCAATTCATCAAGATATAGATGCTGCCAACGGTAACCGTTTACGCTCCAGACGACCGCCAATAAAAACAGCACAGATTGCTGTGGAAAATGAGTTCAACTTAACGATCACTTGGACTCAAGAATGGATGGAACAACAAAATAGCAGCTTACCCTGCATCACACAAAAACCACCAGGTTTTGACTTACCACGCAACACATGGACTATGCGGTTACATGATGCACAAATGGGGTAAACGACCATCCCCACTCTGTGACTGCGGATAACCCCAAACCATCTGTCACATTACAGAACAGTGCTAACAAGATCCTATTAAGGCAGGTCAGAGAATTTCCTAATGGCGACTCTAGCGTCGATAGACTATATAAATAAGGTAGATGTTCGTTGTAAACATATTGTTATGTTTTACAAAATATATGTAAATTTAAATGTAAATGTGTTAAGTGCCATACGATAAATAAATAAAATTAACTTTACCTGTTGTTTCAATTAATTCTCCATTAAGTGTCACCACCCTAAATCTCTGCGCACCATAGGCAATTCTTGTAGCTTGTTCCAAATCGCCTGCTACCAATGTATCTCTCAAGGCATAGTAAAATGCAGTTCTAACATCTTCGTCTGGTACTTTGATCAAATCGTATAAGCGGTGTACGTTTTCCGGTCTAAAAGTTCATGTAAATAGATAAATTAATACAAAAAACTAAACAAGGGAAATTTAAATATCCAATAAAAGAAGAAGAAGAAGTGTAACTCTTTATTTTTGGGTCTATAGTACAGTACAAGAAACTCAATGTTATTGACAGAGAGTAAAATAGGGAAAAATGGCTTCAGAATAATTTGCTATAGTAATATAAAATTTTTTAAACTTACGTTGATATTCTACTGGTTGCATATGGCCTCAAATGTTCTTGTTTATCGAGAGCAATAAACGTAGCTCTACCCAGATTATATTTCTTCAAAAATTGTATACACCATTCTGCTGTACTAACTGTATCGACAACTATGTTATCGAGAGGTCCGCAAGCAGTTGAAATGGCAACATCGTATTTTTGATCGATCGCACCTAAATCGCCCTATAATACACATTAAGTAATTAACGGACAGGGATATAAACTAATAGCTATATATTAACTATAGTAGACAGTAACTATAAACTACGGTGTCACGCCATGGAGTTGAGGTATCTACATTGTAAACAACGACGTGCACCTTATCCTCTATGCTATGGCATGCTGGACGACCCATACCGTCTGTAGGATTATTTTACATATTCAGAAGTAATTTTTCATTTATGTATTGCATAATTATTTATTATGTACTTAATATTTTGGGTTAGTTTCCCCTAAATAAAACATAATGCACTTACCAATCTTCCATAGAGTCCAGGGCAATTTCCATCACGTTTTTGGTTCATTAAGCCGTCCAAAACAGCTCCTTTCGACTTAGTCGCTTGCATCGAACTCTTCTTCTCTTCCAATTGAGTTCTATTTCCTCTAATTTCGGAAATTAATTGTGATTCTTGCAACTTGACCACATTGAGTTCCTCCATGGCACTGTTCAATGATTTTTCGGTAGCTGGTATTTTCTTTTTTAACGTGTTGACTTGTTTTATTCTCTCTGCTATGGTAGAATCGACGTTTTCATACTCTTCGAGCAAATTTTTCAGCTTTTCTTTTTCACCTTCTTCATTGCTCACGTAAATGTTTAATTCTGATTCAGCCAATTTATACTAAGGCAAGAAGTATTTATTAAATAATTTCGTACAGAAAAACTTAACTATAGTATATTTAATAAAGACATTCCATATATTAAAGAATTTGAGCCGATTTTATTCTGGTGAAGCTTAAACACATTTTATTTTAGGTTAATAAAGCATTAAATACTTATTATTAAGTACAGTACTTTGAGTATTTTAAGTTACAATTAATATTAAGATAAAGTTGTTAGAAGTTGATGGAAGGAAATGTTTTTTTTTTTTTTTTTTTTTTTTTTTTTTTTGGATGAGAATCTTCTAAAGAGATCTGGGAAGAGAAACCCAGATACTGTTGGATTCGTCTGAACTATAACGTTGGAATGTTGATAAGGTTAGTTCAGGCGCCTACCAACTAAAACTCACCCTCTCTTCCAGCAGCGCACCCGGAACTTTTCTTGGCGAATGCAACTTCGGGAGCACCACCGCGGTCTCCAATTTTCACGAAAACCTAGTATTGTCCTCGGTAGAGAGTCTCAAAGGTAGCTGAGTGACATAATGACAGTATAAAAACAATATAAGTAAGTAAATAGGACAGTTACACTATAAAATTAGTACAGAACGCTGAAGTATGTGTCTAATGAGCAAAAAAACGCGAATTACAATTATTTTATTAGTCTTTCAGCCTATTCCTTCATCCTGTCTCGCTCTTTCTAGCGTCTCCTTTTTTTTATGATTTCCGTTATTATTTCTAACACATAATCATAGTTCTTTCTGTTCTGCATAGCTAAGTCCAGTATATTATTGGGCGTGACCTCTCCTAGTTTAATTCTCAGTCTTTGACGTTCTTGTAGAAAGACATTACATTCGAAAATGCAATGTTCCGCGTCATCAGTCACACCACAATCCATACAGATATCGTCATTTGTTTTTTTAATTCTGTATGTATACGACCTAAAAGAACCGTGTCCGGTCAGGAATTGTGCAAAGAAATAGTTTATTCTCTTGAACCTACATTTGTACCATGCTTTTACATCGGGTATTAGTATTTTAGTCCATTGTGCTTTTTCCCTTTGTGCCTCCCATTCAGATTGCCATTCATCAAGGATCTGGTTCCTAATTTCGTCTCTTACCTGTGTCAGGTGGCCGTTGCCGTTATTGTATAGGATGGCTCTTTCTTTCGCTAGGAGGTGAATGGGGAGCGTACCAGCAATCACCTGTAAGGCTATCGTAGATGTAGTCCGGTACGCACTAACTACTTTAAGAAGGGGCTTTCTTTGAGCTTTTGTAATCAAGTCTTTGTACCTGGCAAACCTTAAGACTTCAATCCATACGGGGGCACCGTACAAAAGGGTCGAATGCACTATTTGCAAGTACATTCTTCTTTTATAATTACTTGGCCCTCCTATATTAGGCATTATTTTCATAATGGCCGCTGTTCTGCGTTCTGCTGCTTGGACTACATTTATCAGGTGTTTGGTAAATCGTAGACCTGTATCAAGGTGTATGCCTAGATATTTAGCACAATTGGTTGGGACTATCGTCGTACTTGCAAATTGGAAAGTCAGGTTGGGTATCGCTCTAGGCCCTTTTAATATAATTATCTCTGTTTTTATTACTCGCCAGCTGTAAGTCGTTAGTTGTCATCCACCTATTAACTTTTCTCCAGCATATATTAACTTTATTTATTGCATCCAAGTTTGTGTCACCCTCTATTAGTATTGCTAAGTCATCTGCATATGCAATTGCTGACGCACCTCTGCCGTAATCTATTTCCAATACTGTGTTATACAAGATGTTCCACAACGTTGGACCTAATACAGATCCCTGCGGTACTCCAGCCGATAGTTTTGTTTTTTCTTTGTTTGACACTTTAATATATCTGTCGGTGAGGTAATTTTTAATTATATTTATTAGGTAGTCTGACACTCCAGCGGTTTCCAGTTTCCTTATGATGTATGCCCAATTGGCAGAATTGAAGGCATTCTTTACATCGAACATAACCAGGATTGCCATTTATTTCTTGTTTGTTTGACTGTATCACATATAAATTTTACCGCGTCTATAGCTGATCGTGTTTTTCTAAAACCGTATTGCTGGTCAGAAATAGCTCTGTGTTTAAGAGCTCCTGTTCAAGGCGGCGTTTTATGAGGCTTTCATAGAATTTCCCAATACAATCTAATAAACATATAGGCCTGTATGAACTAGGCCCGTCTGGTGGTTTACCAGGTTTTAAGATTAAGACTAAATTTGCAATCTTCAATTGGTCTGGGAATTCTTGGTTGTGTAGGAGCTCATTTAATACCTTTCTGGTGACTTCAGGATTTTCCTGTACCATAATATGTATGGCTTCTGGTGGCACACCATCTGGGCCAGGGGATCTCCGATTTTTATGTTTTCGGCAGCTAATCTTATTTCATCTATGGTGAACTCGTCAGGTCTATTATCTAGAGTATATGGTAGAAATTGGCATTCGGGCTTATTAGGAAAAAGGGCTTTCGCAATTTCCTTTCTTTTTTCTACACAAAGGTTATATGGAGCCTCGGACCTCAGTGTCTTAGTGGCAATTTTATAGGCTTCACCCCATATATCGTTGTCCAGCGTGTCACACAGGTTCTGCCAGCATGTGCGTTTAGCCCGCTTTATTTCTTTATTTAGTTCTTTCTTTACGCGCTTATATTCTTCCAAGTTTTCTTGGGTCCTGTTCCTTTGTGCTATTCGCCTGACTCTGAAACATTTTGTTCTTTTAAGCTGTATCTCGTCGTTCCACCAATAGGGTACAGTATATGTGACACATTTTTCCTTACTGCTGCTTCTGTATGCATGTATTAGGTTTTTATGGTAGTTTGTGAAGTTAGTAGCTTCTTCTCGTAGGTTGCTAATTTTATTTTTAAATAGGTCTTTGTTAAAACTTATCTTTTTCCTACCGCTCTTCGGACCTTGATGCCAATCTCGTAAACAATATATCTGTGAAAAGTAAAAATGTTTTCGTCAAGAACGTCCCAGTTAGATATTTGATTGGCATAACTTTCGTTTACGAGGGTAATGTCTATGTGGCTTCGGCTTTCACCCGGACAAAAGTAGGTTTTCCATTATTTAGCGCTGTTAGATTGCCGTCGTAGAGATCCATTCGTTCCATAAATCCCCTCTATAGTCATTTCGTGGGGAACCCCTAAGATAGATTTAGCATTTATGTCGCAGCGACTATAAAATTCTTTTCTATATGTGACATTTGTATTATGGATTCAATGTGCTGTTTGTATTGATCTCTACCTATGTTGGGTGAGATATAACAGGCAATAATAGCTACTTTTTCTAATTTGATTAGTACGTGCCCCTCCCCTTTTTATATCTTATTTATGCACACTTTATGATTTATGGGGTATATTGCTACATCTTCCTGTTGTCTGTAATCCATCTGCTATTTTGGATGATTCTCTTGTTTGGTTCAGGTATATTAGAATATCTGCTCCAATTTCGAGGGCTTTCGCATGAATCAGATCATGTGCAACCTTGGCTCTTCGATGTTCACTTGTAGAATTTTTAGTCTTTTTAACCGGTTAAAGCCATTTTGAAATCATTACCTTAGTATCATGTGTTAAAGGTCACATAGGATGACGGAAAAGGCACTTAGACTGAAGTTGTCAGAACTCCCTGTGACAACGTCACTACACTAAAGGTAGCTGTAGCTTCGTCGCACAGAGATTTGGAGGACTCCAAAAGGGAGTTAACATGAACCTTGTTTGGAGAAGGGAAAGGAGGTATGGGAGTGAGCGTAGGAGGGAAGACATCCGCGTATTCTCCTTGCTGTTTTCTAAGTTTCTCATGATATCTCGCTCCTGAAGGGCCTTCTTAAAATGTGTGCAGTCCATGCTGCCAGTTCTATGGGCGTCATTACAAAGAACGCACCTTTCTTCCTCTTGACACTTCTCTGCTTCGTGCTCTGATTTACCGCAACGGTAACACATACCACTCCTATCAGGGCCTCGACATTTATCGGTGTCATGCGTGTATGCCCAACATCTGCTACATCTTTTATTTTTAGTCTTTTCTCGCTCTGCATCTACATACCCCAACTCTGAGAAAATCTCTGCGCAAAGTATTTTAGCTACTCTCGCCGGGATGACAATTGTTGTGGCAAGGGTGTTGCCCCTCAGTGGTCGCATCTTTCTATCTTGTAGTGGTCTTCCCACTTACCTATTTGCTCTTGGAATGCCTCGATAACCTCCTCCGTCGTGGCATCCTCTGCCATGCCTCTTATATGTATGGTTTCCGTTATGTGTTCTTCTCCTATTTGGAATGCTTTGAGGCCTTCCTCTGTTGTTCCAAGGGCAGTTTTTATTTTTTGTAGTGCTGCTTGGTCTTTCTCCATGGTGATGAGAAGTTTTCCCTCTTTTGTGCTTCTGAGCGAGTGTACGGCCTCTGCTGCGCCAGTTGACTTTACAGCTGTTTCACAGTCTGTAGTATGTCCTTATAAGCGGCATCTTTTTTTGGTAAACAATCATACCGTATGTGGCCCTCTCCTTCCGTTTGTTCGTAGTATGGATGTTTACAGTCACCTCTGTTTTTTGGAAAATTATTTCACACATTTTCCGGAGTTCATCTACCGACATGGCATTAACATGGTGGAGAGCGACCTTACCTTGTTGACCCACTTCTTCCTTCACCATGTTGATTTTTTCCAGATTTGTTTTCTGTCCCATTTTGTTTAATTTTTTATTATTTTTTTGGTCTCCTTTGCCCCTTTTGATTTAATTGTAGTGCTTTGCTCGGAGTACTTCATAATCTGCTTCAAGTTCTGCCAACTCTGGGTATTTATCCCTATATAGCCTCTGAATACTGTTGCTCATTTGAGGGTCGTTTGGTTCTACCATGACGACCTTAACGATGTCGTTTCCGGTGGTAATAGGATTACCGATAACTACATTGGTCCTCTTGTATACCTTGTCATCCCATGTCAGGTTAGCCGTTTCTTCCCAGGTTTCAAAACTGTTGATATTATCTAATTTACTGATTCTTTTCTGGGAGCCCTCCATGCCACGGGTCAGTTTGGGTGTCAGTGTCAATCGTCAGATTTTCTACTGGCTCGTATTTGTGTTTGTTGAGCCAGTTCACAACTAGGTCTTTTTTAAAAGTAAGTGAGGTCTTCTTTAGACGGGAAGTTATGTCCTTTTATACTCTTATGGGTGTTTGGGATGTCTTTTATTGTTTTAGATAGTTCGTTCACTAGTCTTTCATATGATGTGAGACCCTCCATAATCGAGAAATACTCACAGCATTCTTTCCTTTTATAGGGTGCGGTATCCGATTCGGATAGGTTTTTTTTTCTTTTTTCTCCAGCTAACGATCTGGTCGGTGATTCAGGAAGGGAATTAACCCTTTTCTTTTTGGTTCGCTTCTACTATTGTCTGTTCTTCCCGAGATTCCGCCCGGGTCGCCCCCGATTATGTTTATAATTTCATTTAGGTTCATCTAGATCCCACGAGTAGCTAGGGAAATTCGGTCAGCTGTCGCATAGCCCCGCTTGCGGCAGTAAGGCTACTTACAATGAGGTGTCGCCCGGTACCCAAGGGAACCGTTTGGGACCACGTGTCGTGTGGTCATTCAGTCCTCAGCACGGTTTCTTACGCCTTGACTTAACGGATTTTTTCTCGCTGGTTTACTCCATCGGTTTTTTGTTTTGCATCAGGTTGTCTCCTGAGGATCGGTAAGAAACGGGATGGAGGATAGGTAACAGCAAGGATGATGATGAACGAGCTGGGATTTGCTAATCCATCACGGGGGTTGGTGTACGGCAGTGGCACTCAGCGCCCATCTCTGAGTGCCAATCTCGCCCACCTCCCTCGGTAAGCAGTCCCCACCCTGTCCATCGCGCTCGCCTCACAAGAATTAGCGGCCCGCGACCGGACTAGAGACGGACCGCTTCTCCGTTTAGTCGCCTTTTACGACAAGCAGGAGAAAACTGTGGGGATATTCTTTACTGGCCGTGCCCCACACAGCCGGAAGGAAATGTAGAGGAAAACCGAGGAGAAGGACTGTGTGATAGAGGAATTAAAAGAAAAATTGTTGGTCACTTCCTAACGATATATATGTATAATGCAAATCACAATATTTAAATTTAAAAAGTAATCCTATATTAAAAGTACATAAAAATTCATAAATGAAAGGCTTCTAACCAAAGTTGAATGTATAAATACCTGCGATTTAGTTTCGTCGACAGCTTCCTTTAATCCTACTAATTGATTTTGTATGACATCTTTCTTTTCTTGTAGAGTTTTAGTTTCGGTTCTTAGACTAGACAAAATCTTAGTTTTTTCTTCTTCATACTTCTCTTTTTTGGCAGAGAGTTCTTCGATTTTCCTTTCACATTCTTCTATACCCTGTTCAAGTTTTACATCATTAATATTATATTACAAATATTATTTGTAAGGGTATGCAATGAAATATAAGGATATATTGAATATTGTCAATTCTACAGAGTAGGAAACAAGAACACCTTCGACACCATTTGAAGATTGTAGTTCACTAGGTTGATGATTACGCTAGTCAAAGAAATGTTTTAAATGTAGCAAAGGGTTTGTGGCTTTGAATTTAAAAGTTAATGTTGAAATCGAGTCACAGCTCGATCAACTCCCATTCATATATGTACTTTATCAGAAGGCATTAAGAGACTAGGAAACGGAATATAGTAGTAGTATAGTAAATTGTGAGGGTGTGTTATTTCAAGTTATTGTGTACAATTATAATGATATTGTCTTACAATATTTCTCTGTTTAGTTCAGCTATGTTAGCTTAGGTTCAGTATGAGTAGGTGCTTAACCACCCTTCCACTTGCCCTAAGAGGTCTATAATTGTAGCTCTTACTTCAGCTAATACAGACCACAGCAAAAAAATCAATAGATCACATAACACACACAAAATATTTTTTCTGTATTATATATAAGATTATTCAATTACTAAAATGAATTCATACCCCTTTACTTTCTTCAGGTACTTTTTTGAGCTTTTCTAACTTCGCCTTTTCTGCTACAATAAGTTCCTTTGTTTTCTTCCTGGTAGTATTAGTTTGTGTCATGGTCTCTTGCAGCTGGATGTCCTTATTATTAGCTTTGTTAAAGGCGTCAGTTAAACTTTCCTTTCGTGTCTTAAGATGTTCATAGGTTCTAAAATATTAAATTAAACTAGTTATATACAAAACATACATAATGAGACTAATATACCTATATGAAGGTTAATAGAGTATTAGAAAGAGATCAAGATAGAGCTACAATCTATCACTCAAACCTATAGTCTGTCCCACCTTGACTTTACAGGTTCTTATGACCAAGAGTGATGCCAAATTTTATCAGAAACAGGTTTGAAGCAAATATACTTTTTTCTATAAGATAACTATAAATAACTTAGGAATTAATATCATTTAGGTCAGCTTGTTTTTTGTATTGTAAAAAAACTGTATACAGTGTGCATATTTATTTAAGATAACTGGGAAACTTACAATAGACAGATAAAAGCTAAAAATTTTATCTGTTACCAACAGTGTGTTCCATGTTTTAATATTTATGGTTATGGTTTCTATGCAAACCATAGTTCAGAACAAAATTCAAGGAAAATGCACCAAAGTTAAAAAAAATGAAGGCAAAGGGTTCACATTCCCTCTAAGGGAAAATTACAATTATCCCAGATATGTATGGTATCAAATTAATTGAGGTCTGGTGGAACCCTTTCCATGTTATCAAGTTTCAGGTGAGATGGTATCTCCTAAAAATTTTAGTAGGCATCTGTATGTCAAGAGTAGCATAGCTTTCTGCATGATGTTATAAAGATGTTCACTCAAACTCAGCTGTTTTACATTTCCTATTATTAAGTTTTTCAGATAACACTGTTAGTAGAGAGAAACATGGGTTCTAGGTGGTTCCTTTCCATTTTCCATTGTCTCCTTACTTGTATTTCCATATCTCAGTACTTGACAATCTTTTTGTTATATTCAATATGCTGATTACTGTTGCTAAGTATCACCACGTAAATTAATTCTCCGGAGAGAAATTGCTAGGATCATCGGTAGAAGTATTACTTAGAATTTGTATTATATTATTTTAGATAGTTTTCGTTTAGGTATCTGCATTAAGGTAAACTTCAATATTAGAGTTTGGGAGTGAGTGAAGTAGAATTGCTTGTTTTTTCTAGAGCTGTAGAATATAATTTTGATGGTTGGTTTACAAGTAGATTGCCAGAAATTTCCATGGTGGAAAATTCCCCTGCTAAATCCATTTCCATGCTTGGGCTAAATAACCTTAAGACGGCCCTGGTGCTTATAATGTATCATTACCAAGAGGACTGGTAATTAACCTCACGCCAAAACGGCAAAATAGTTGTTTACCCTTGGTTTGTTATAGATGAAATAGGAAAATCAAACTTACAGTTTTTATCATTATAAAGCTCCAACTTGTAGCTTAGCAAACTACAAATGTATCCAAATATACTAATCCAAATGAAAAATATATGAAATTTAAAACTTTAAACCTAAAACAAATAATACTTACGCAGATTTTTCTTTCAATAATGTTTCTTTTTCAATCTTCTTCTCATGTATCTGTTGCAAATTATCTTCAAATGCTTTTTGTTCCGCTACAACCTCTTTTTTCTGTTCCTCAAGTCTTTCTAACTTAGTTTCAATATTATAACTAAAATTCAAACATACAAGAACTCATATAAGTACCTATAAAAATTGTTTAATTTGTTTGATAAAAAATAGGAAAATGTAAAGTATGCATAGAAAAAAAGAAACTAAGTATTGCAACGTATAAGTATCTAAAACTAATTACTGTAGTGAAAGCTATAGAAAACTCACATATTCTTTTGATACAGGAAGTTTTTGCTTGTAACAACTTTGTTTTCAACCTTCAAAAATTTGACAGCTTCTTCCATAGGGGCTTGCAATTCTTTTAGTTCATTATCCACGAGCTGCATCCTATTTAATTTTTCAGTTTTTAGGGCAGTAAGATATTCAACTCGTTCTGTAACTTGAGTTAATGGTTTCTAAAAATAGATAGCATGGTTAAATATTATTTACAAAATTTTACATATCGATGGCTTGGTTCCAAATGTAGCTAACTACAATTTTTCCATTTTTATTAAATTTCCATATTTATTTACACAGTAAACCGCATAATTATTTTAAGTTTTGTTCCAAAGGTGATGAATTGCATTGATTTAAAAATGGGCGCCAGAATATATAAAACTATTAGTATTTATATACACAATGAACTTAGTTCGCAATTCCATAGCTAGTAACACATAGCCACCTTTGGAATAGACATCTTTCAATGTAGGTGAAGTTAGCGCCATTTGTTTTATTATAACGTATGATACAATGAACATACCATAGGTTGTTCTGTGGAAAGGAATATTCAGAACATTGTGGTAATGTAGAGCTTGATGGGGAACATTAAAGTTAATCTGGCTTAACAGGTTTGGACAATCAATAAATCCATGTATGATCTTATATATAAATATAGCTCCTGATATATCACAATGGTTCTTAAGTAAGGGTAAAAATAATTGTTGTTCGATACAGGAATAATCATGATGTTCAATAGTCTGGGCACGGTAAGCACAATATCTCAAAAAAATATGCTGGACTCTTTCTATGGTATGAATAAAGTTAAGTAAAATAAAGTTAAGTTCCAAATGTAGCTACATGTATTGTACTACGAAAAATCGTCCCCAGACGAATAATTTCAAGAACTATTCATTATTCTTATATCTAGTGTTTATCAGTATTACTACCGAATATTTATAGAGAAACAATAATTCGATTTGAAAGACCTGATTAGATTTTGTAGTTAGCCACTTTTGGAACCAGGCCATCTATATAAAAAATTATCGTTTTTATTAAACCCTTTGTCAATATAAAATTAGCATGTCTAGGAAGTAATACACCAATGTCATTTATAAATTAGGAATATTGAGTACATAATTATTGTATTACACAAACAAGACCATCACTGAAATAATGTATATTTTAAAATAACTGGTTACTGTAACAAAGAAAAAGACTGTTGTCACAATGGTAAAGACACATACTATCAGAAAACAATAGACAAACCAAGTCCCGCAGATGACTCCAGAGAGGGAATGGAAATAAAAGCCACAGTTTATTAACTATTCATACATAAAAAACTGAGCTTAATGACATATACAATGATTAAAAGAAATTCTATACCTTATAACGGTTAGTTCCTATGATATCTTCTAAGTACTCTAACATACCAGTTTCATGTTCACTTTCAGCTTTACACTTCATCATAGAGATTTGCTCCACTTCACCCTGTAAAATTATAATACAAAATAAAACTATTACTAATTATAAGTTAATCAAGTTGACATAACTACAGCATGAAGCTAAAATCCAGCAATCAAATAGAGTTAAAAGATTATTTCACAAACTGTTCACAAAAAAATTAAGAACAAACTATATAATTGAATGCTTAAACATACCTGAAGAATAAGAAACCGATTGTGATCCAGATCTATACCATGAGTTTTTAGTATCTTACCAACTTCTTTAAATTGCACTCTTTTGCCATTTAAAGTATAATGTGAAGAATTATCTTTGTTAGCAACTCGAGATACAACAAATTCACTTCCAGGTACTACATCATACTCATCTCCAGACTAAAAAATATAGTTCAGTAAGATGTTCTGAATAAATTAAATGGTTCTTAAATAATATTACCTTGTCGATAATTAGAGCAAAGTGTACAGCAACTGAACATGATTGCACATTTCTGTATCTATCAGAGTTGTGTAATAATACTGAAACTTTCTTTGATCTAATCTTTGTAGCTCTATAACCAAACACAAATAACATTGAGTCAATAACATTGCTTTTGCCACTTCCATTGGGTCCAATGATAGCATTAAAACACTAAAACATAAAATCAACATATATTATACAAAGACATTTTCATTTCCAGTCTGCTTCCTACCTTGTGAAATGGTGCTAAAATCTGCTCTCCAGCGTAACTTTTAAAAAAATTGTTAGTAATTCTGGTTATAATTAAACGGGGACCCGTAGGGTCAAAAGACAAAGTTGGTTTGGTAGCCCTAGGAATTCGAATACCCTCTATTACGTCTGTATCATCCTCATCAGATAACTGTTGATCGTCGTCAATTATATCGTCCTCTACAGATTTTTCTTCAACGATTTTCTTTCTCGACTTCTGTTTTTCGGTCATTTCGGCAGGCATTTTAATTTAATTTAAAACAATAAACCAAACATCAAATCTTGTATTTATAACAAAACATTTCCCACCATCAAAATCAAATTAACCGACATAAACTTCTTCTCTTGTTTGAACTGTCGAGTGTCGACCGACGTTCGTTTGGACAAGGTAAGTTATCCAGCCACCACTTGTTTAGCTTTAAAATTGTGAAAAAAATACTACAGATCGATGATTTCTTCACACGAGTAAATATTTTAAACTAAATAATTTTAATAATAAATATGTAAGTTATGTAAAATATTTTGTTTATATTATAATAATAAAATTATTCAAATTTCATTTGTCAATGTCACTTTTTACTTGAAGGACAGAGGTTCCCTGCTCCCTTGATTTTTGATTAAAATAAATTTAGTCAGTCTGTTTGCTTTTTCGATTTAAAATTTCAAAATGAGTGAGGATATACAACGAAAACTGCAAAATGAATTAGAAAATTACAAAAAAACTCAGAAAGGTAACTTATATTTTATTTATGGCACATTCTTCTTAACCTCAATTATTTTTAGAACTTCAAAGAACCATACAAACCAGACAACAATTGGATGGTCAATTAAACGAGAATGAAATTGTTAAACAAGAATTAGACCTACTTCCAAGCGATGGTAAAGTTTATAAATCTGTAGGACCTGTACTGATTAAAACTGAGTTAATAGAAGCCAAACAAAATGTCAGTAAAAGAATGGATTATATTAGCAAAGAACTGAAGCGAGTTGACGATCTTATTAATACTCTAGATAAAAAACAAGATGTCCATAGGGAAGCTCTTCAAAAATTGCAACATCAGTTTCAACAAGCTCAAGTGAAAGCTGCTTTACATGCTTAATTTTAGTACTGGACTTACTTTAACACTTGAATATTTATTTTACAAACGAATTTCTGTTAACTTTTGATAGTGAATCACATTTTCTGTTTAAATAAAGATTCTGAATCTGCAGATGATACATTTTTAAACATCTAAACACCTTTGAACAGGCATCAAAGGTGCCAAATCTGCAAATAAATCCAAAAGAAATAAAATAAGGTACATTACCATTTTACTGTTAGTTAAATAATTTCCTTGCATATTAAATAATTTGTTATAATGTAATTATTCCTCTATTATTCAACTATGTTATCTCATGAAAATATAGTTTGCACATTTAAATTTTGAAAATAAGTAAACTTATGTTTCACCTGATTCAGTTCTTTTGACAATATTATCATTATTTTTTAATAAAATAAAAGTTAATGAGCTATTAAGTTTTGTTATTACTTTATGTTTGCTTATTCGTATATAAAAAGCTTATGTTGATGGTTTTAAGTGAATTGATATCAAGATTACAATATTGAAATTGTATGTGAGAATGATAGGTTGAATTGTAAACTGTTCTGTATAGCATATTTATTAAAATGCAATTTAATAATGACAAAGGGAAATGCTCACCTCAAAATATGGCTAGCATATAGATACATTTCTGGCAAAGTAACTTAAACGACATTTTTGGCGAAAATCATGTTTTTCAATTAACTAACACTATTAAATAAATAAATAGGTTATTTACGGTTATACCAATTACAATAATTTATTACTATTAACTATTATTGTTAAAAAGGTACTGCCAAAGTGTAGTAAGCCTAGAATTACTTTAAACCTTTTTTAGGACAAGTTTTTTCAGTCATAATTTAAATAAGGTTAACCAGGTTGAATTAAAAAATTGTTTTTTCTACAAATCGTTTTTGGTGACTTACGTTACTTTGCCAAAAATGTATCGATATAAGTAATTTCATTTATTTCTCTTCTCACATGCTTATGCTCATTCAAGAGCCTCATATTACCATTCTACCTCTTTTATTCATCTTAAGAATATATATCTTTCATACTAGAGTCATCAGGTTGAAGATCCATTTTGTATTGGCTCAATAAATTGCTAGGAACTGCCCTTTCAGCTGCTTTTATAACGGAATGCACTCCAGAATACCATGTACTTGAGAAGTCAACAGAGGACTAACTAAAGGATTGTTGACATTGGAAGTATTAGTCTACTCATCATTGATGAATCTTCCTTGCCTTGATTCTTGACAAAACTAGAGAAACTTAGTTTCTCTAGTTTTGAGTTAAAAGTTCTATTGTGGCTCCTCCCTAAGTTAAAATTGTTTTCAGCCTTTTAAAAAAGGCTAATATGGTCTTTGGTGAAATTTCTACTAAGTTATAGGGCTGCAATTCTATGAACAGTTGCATGTAACATATTTCCCTATCTTGACTTCATCCTGATGAATTCTGCAATTCACGCTTTCTGTCAGTTGGATTTTAATTTATGTGCCCCTCGAGATGACAGCATTCTGTTATGAGAACTACAATAATTTGCAGATTATTCATATCTAGATCTTTTGATTTTTTTTTTGAACGTTTATGTATAAAAGCATGTTTGAGACCCGTTTGTCTGTACCAGTGGTCACATTACACCTGTTCAACCCAGTCCAATATCATTCTTTAGGTTGTGCTTAATGCTATGTGAACAAAATGTCTATAATGAGGTTATTTAAGGGGTATATTTGGGTAGCTCTGAAACAGTGACAATTATTTACATGAGCAAAAAAGGTAGTTGTAATACTGCTATTAATGACCCAAGCAGGTGAGTGGTCATTTTTAATTGCAACAGTGTTTACATGATACTTTCGGTGTCCGGAACACCAACAGCTTTAAATTTTCTATTTCCAATTTCCTTTAAATATTTTGTATTTAATAATCACCTAATAAAACATGAAAAAAGTTAAAAAACTGTCTTCTAGTTGAGTGAGATTCTGATTTTATACTAAGGGGGATTACAATCTCTAAAGGAAGGTGAAATAGGTAGTCATTTTTTTTTTCTGGAGCAGTTACAAATTGTTTGAAAACTGATGAGTTTTTTAATAAAGTAGGAGCATTTTAGCCTGTAGCTTAAGTAATAAAAGTGTCTGTTCAGATTTGCATCAGGTAGTCAGCAGTTCTCTTTATTTATCCTCAAGTACTACAGCCGACCAGTAGGAGGTTAGGTTAGGTACCACAAAGCAGGTAGAAAAGGGAAAGCATAAGAGAGTGGCTGTAACTAGAGTCATAAATTATTTTTCGGGTGTAAATATGACAGGGTAAAATGACTTCACTATAGTTTGACAAAAAAATAGCAAAGTTTAATTTTTCGTTTTGGTAAATTTTAATGCATTAATTTGTTTAAACTTATTAGAGTGGAGTATACCATAATAAACATTTGTAACAATAATAAATCAAAAGGAAGAAATGTTACCAGGAATTAAAAAGGGAAAATGGTTATAAATAGGTTTTCATGACAGAAATTGTTCAGCTGTAGAATATATTTAAGGCAGGTTTTTCTTTCGCCAATTTACTTGTGTCTTTAAACACTTTGTGTGGATGGCATGCATGTGAGCCACATAAGGCCTCCATCAATGGGCAGATAGCCCACATGTATGCCATTGGCTATATCCCTTTCTAAGATGTAAATAAGTTTCAGAGTATAATTTACATCCACACACAATTTATTAAGCAAATACATATGCTGGACATATATGTCTGTTATGACAATAAATAAAAGAAAACAAATATTTATTTACTCTTTTTATATTAACAATTAGAGTCCGTTAAATGTACAACTGAACAATTGCCTCAAAATCATAAAAATAGTCAGAAATATATTTTACTATATTTTCCATCTAAATATCTTTGTAACTGACAATAAATTATTCACTTTGTATTTCATTCTCCCAAGTAACTGCAAAAACATACAACATACAAAATATGAAATATTGCTCAAGTAAAACTAATTTATTACTTTGATACAGCAACAATGAAGGATGACAGGAATCTATAACAGTTCTAACAAAATGAGACTAGTGAAAGAGCAAAAAGGTATCTACAATCACTCAACATCATCTTCTTGCAATGAAGCGCTTTGATTTCCACTTTGTGCTTTCATGAGACGAGGTGCCACAGCTGGCAGTCTTTCAATAAGTAAATGGAACACATTGGGTTGTAGTGTTTGTTGTAAGACTTGTAGTAAATCATTTGGTTGCCCACAAACAGTTACTGCATTACCCAAATGGTCTACTCCATTCTCAAGGTCACCTGCAGCTAATAACTCTTCCCCTAGTTGGATTTCTTGCAAGAAAAATCTTTGTACTGCTTCATGATCTTTAATGTTAGGAAACACTGTACTAGATCTTTTTCCAGATGATGCAGCTGCATCTCGACGAGCACGTCTCCCTAAAACAGGTACTTGTTTATAAAATATAACCTATAAAGATAGGGGTGACTTACTTTGTCGCAATTTTTTCTTAAAGTCTGGGTCGTTGTGCCTCTGTTTATCAAAGTAAAAACAATATCCGATAAATAGGGTTGCTGAGACGCCTGCACATATGCCAAACATAGCCTTGGGGGATACCATTTTAAGAAAATTTTCTAAAATTGTCCCTCAAATGCCAGTGTCCATCACCCCACCACCACACAAGCAAAAGAAAATAATTTATAGGTGGCGACACATTTCCGGATCGATGACAAATAAATGTATGAGGCGTTTTTTGGCAGTATTATTACACTATTAATATTATTAATAAATATAATAAAATATATTAACTAGAGAAATTGTTTAAATAAAGAGGAAACACAAAAATTTTAAATTTCTATTTTAAAAATATGTTTTTTATGTCGACAACCAATAATCCATATATAAAGTGACAACCAATGTCATTAAATTGTGCTGGATGAATTATTAAATAAACAACAGTGCACATAAAAAGAACAAGACAAGAAGAAAATATAGTTTTTTAGGTTAAGCAAAAAGAAATAAACAAATAATCGTAATAAATTAAACTGTAACTGCAGATAAAATTATCATTGTTTGTTTTTTACACACTTTTTTACAACACTTGTTTTAAAAAGTTTTAAAGTCATATTTGTAAACATGGAGTACATTCAGAAAACGGCAAAGGATTATAAGAAATGTTGTGATGTAGATATGGATTCAAAGGTAAATAGAAATTGTGTTTTTGTTGAACTTAATAGAAATCCATTGTTTTTCTAGTTGAACTCATTAAATAAGTCTATTGATGAAATGTTGACGAGATTAGAAGAATTCCAGACAATGATGTCATTTGTGGAGCAGGATAGAAAAGATTACAATGATATTTTAACTTCAGTACCAAATTACAAAGTTGAATTTGACACCTTATGTAATCGAATAGATACAGTGGATAAATTGACTACTCATATTAAATCTAACTTAGATGTATTGGAAAGTGAAATTGAAAAAGCAGAAAGTAGTTTAGGATGTAGCGAGAAAACAGCTAAAGTTACTCAAATTTTTACACCCTTGTTTGTAAGCATCTTTTTATTATAGTATAAGTTTGTAGTAATTATATATACAATACTATAGTCCTTGTACACTGAGCAGCAAAAAAAATGGCACCCTATAAATTTCCGAAAATAAAAATTCATTGGAAATTTTATGCACTGTTTCATATTGCATCTCAAATTAAATATTTTTTGCGATCTTGTATGCTTGTTTTTGACAGTTTCAACATTTATGGTTCCGGTCATAGAAGAGTTACCTTGCAAAGGGATGATAGCTTTATTGTAATGGAACTCTTAATAAATTGTCATTTTACTGCAATTGCTGGAAGAAACCATCTGCAGGAGGTTCAAAATGGGAATATAAGTGGGAGAACAGTTAGAAGACACCCCAATGAAAGAGGGCTACTGGCAAGAAAGCAGGCTATTGTTCTCGAATTACAACCCAGACACTCTAGGAATCGAATAATTTTTTCTCGACAATATCAACACTGGGATATACAGAATTGGAGCTGAATTCTCTTTACTGATGAATTGTGGTTCTGTTTGAAGTCTGGCTATGGTCGAGAGAGGGTTTGGATATAGAGAAATGAAAGATAAGTCCAAGTTTGTTTGTCCCAGAGAAGAAAGTTTGGCGGTGGAGGTCATGGTTTGGGCTGGAAACTCACTTGAAGGTCGAACTGAACTTATTTTCATCAATGGCTCCCTGAATGCTCAATTGTATATAGAGGATGTTTTGGCAGAAGCAGTAGTGTCATTTTGTTCTTTAATTAGGGACAATTTCGTCTTTATGCATGATAATGCACGACCGCATACTGCAATAATCCTGACATATTACTTGGGGAAAGTTGGAATTAAGATTCTAGAACAGCCATCCTGCAGCCACGATCTGAATATCAGCGAACATATTTGGGATAAACTTCATTGTAGGGTTATAAGCCAACCAGGCCAGCCAGAAAGTCTTGGAGAACTTCAAAACATGCTTCGTGAAGAATATGAACACATCCCTCAAGTTTTTCTTCAAAATTTTTTCCTTTCCCTTCCAAATAGTATGCAAACGGTTGTTGATTTTTTAGGGCATAACACCCGATAATATACAATTTTGTTTAAGTTCACTCGTAATTTTTATTGTTTGTAATTCGTTTCAATATTATACTATTTTCTTTTGTAGGCTTCTAATTAAATAAATTATGCTAAGGAATCAAACAGTAATGGCCATTTTTTGTTTTAAAAATAAAAGATGTTGAGAATACAATATAAAACAGTGCATAAAACTTTCAATGAATTTTTATTTTCGGAAATTTATAGGGTGGCCACTTTTTTTGTCAGTGTATATTATAAAAGTTAAAAGTGGCAACAGTGTCGAATGTACATACAATTTTGCTTTATGTGCATATCAGCCATATTGAAAGATTAAAAATCTTCATTACTTTAAACAACATGTATTTTTACACAAGTTGATAGTAAAAATCACGGATATACTCCATTCCCTTATCTCGAGCATATTTTGACAGATTCATTATCGGAAACCTACAACACAACCATTCCTACCTTTTAGTATTAATAGCTCAAGTATATTACTATTGCAGACTTCTTTCTTTAAAAAAGAAGAATTATTCTAAATACTGAAAGTGTATACTAAATCCATCAAATTTTGGGTAGTATATATTTAAAAAATATATTTTAGTTGTTATAATTTAACATAACTATTTATTAGATGGTGCAGATAAATAAATATTGATTGTCGGTAATTCGCAAAGTTGTATTTTATTTACTATTTAGTTTGATTACTATTAATATTGGTTTTTGATTTTTTTGTTTTTCTTGATTTTTGGTCACTTTTACTAGTTTCCAGTAAAGAAAATGTTAAAATTTGAGATAAAAAGGTAATAATAGCGTAATTGTAATGTGCTTAAACTTATTATAAAAATTAAAACACTCAAAAAGCAAAAAGTACGAAAGTAAGATTGTCTGTAATTTCTCAATATATGCAGGAACCATTGTTTTCTATCATATAATATAATTCGTGGTTTCTTACCTCCAAGAAACATACTCGTTCCATCCGTAGCTCCCGCACTTACCGCATTAAAACAAGTCGTAACCTATCACGTGCGATATACACACACCTTTTGCTTAATATTCGGCGCTTTGATCAAGAGGCGTAGCCGAATATTTCAATTTATAAATAAATCATTTAAAAATTATTTAAAGCCACATTTTAATTCAATTATGTTGGTTTTTTTACAGAAGAAAAATGTAGATAAGAAGCAATCAACACAGAATTCTGAACTGTTTAAAACTGAAGATTACTTTGATTAGCTTAGTGTATTTTAAAAGCTTCTATATTTGTATAGGTACACTAAGTAAAATATTTTTATATAATAATATATTGTTAAAATTATTACAAAATTAAAAGCATAAACATTAAATAGGCTTTGATTTATCACACCTGGTAATTCATATTTATTTTTGTTTTTAATATTAATACTGAAATGGGAGTATTATTTGTTTGAACTTTAAACGATACATGAGCTCTATTGCACTGAATACTGAATTAAACAAGTAAATACAGAGTCTTGAAATGGACAATGGAGACTTTTTTTAAATTTGATCACAGAATTAGTGGTCTGTGAATTTGATAGTTGATAGACCTATTTTCTTCCATATCTTCCAGATAAGTCGATTCGAGAATCGATTTCATAATCGAATGGATTCTATAATCGATTCCATTTGATATCGATTTGATTCTAGAATCGATTTGACTTTATTCGATCATCGATTCGATATTTAATTCGAAAGATGCTTATCATAACCGTCATAACGAGAAAAAATTAAGCTGGTTGCTAAAAAACTTAACAAAGATAATCTAACTTAGAAAAAGTTGCTTGGTTTGGCCTACAAGCTGCTCTACCGACACCAAAAGGAGACTTTCCGCTTTCTATTATAAATCTGAGTTGTCAACAAATAATGTGAACTTCAGAAAAAGGAACTAGGAAATGTGCACAGCTGTGTTTGGCACGAAGGAGAAAGCGGTAAAGGTACCATAGAAATTGGTTCGTACCTGTTGATGTATTTGGAATAAATATCTATAAAAACCGATTCTGACTATTTGAAATTCATATTTCACTCAGCTCACAGCATAAATTCCAGTTAAATCGTACAATAAGAATTACTATAATTTAAAAAACAAAAAAGTCAACTTTGGCGTCATATTTCCGACAGGAGGGAGGCGTAATATGGCGCACTAGGTGTTGGGGATATGACTTATGGGAAATTGCATGTAAACCAAAAATTGTAACTTTTAATGAAATGATGTGAAAAAACTGTCTCCACAACTAACATGGTGTTTCACAAGTTTCGTAGGAGTTGCTTTTTGTAGTTTTATGAGAATGTGGGTCAGTAGGCTTCTTCTTTGGAGTATTAAGTGAGAGTGAACCAGATGTGCTGGGTTGAGGATCCAAGTCTGAGCTAACACTTTCGTCGTCATTGTCCATAGAGTTGGACTTCAAGGTTTCTTGTAGGTAAGCGTAATCAGGAATAGAGGAGGGTGCGAATGGAAACACCTAGCAGGCCCAGAAACTTGCTGAACTCGTAGACATTGTTGCAGCTTGTGACCAGGCTTTCTGTAGAAATTGGCCGAAGTGCCTGCGTTCTATCTTCTTTCCAGGATTTGCATTTCCCCATTCGATAGCTGCACTTCGGTAATAGAACTTCAACGGTTTGAAAAACGATCAGTCGAAAGGCTGTAAGTAATGAGTCGTTTGGCTGGGAAGGCAAAGAAAATGGACATCATTTTCCAACGCTATCTTCAATATGTCCGGCGAGTTAGTGTGAGATCCGTGTCCGTTGAACAGTAATAGGCATGTACCAGCTGCCTTCCTTGGAATAAAGTAGTTTTCCAGCCAATTTTTAAACAGGTCTTCATTTATGTAAGCTGATTTTCCACCCATCACCACTTCAGAACCGTTAGGCATATTATCGAGCCACACTTGTTGTTTGTATACACTTTTGAACACTACGTAGGGAGGTAAAAAACTTCCCTCTGCATTACAACAGACAACAACTGTCACTGTCTCTCTTTGTTTTTTTGATTTCCGCACTTGAATTGCCTTGCTACCTTTGGCCGCTATAACTTCATGCGGAGGGTTGTTCAATTGCAAACCTGACTCATCTACATTGTAAATATTTCCGGGTTTGTTCAAGAGGTTTAACGATTCTAACGTCTTTTTAACAAATTGAAATAATCATTTACTTCTTAGTTTCATTCTTAATAAAATGGCCGTAGGAAACTCGGCCCATTTGTTCAGCCAGGTTAAAAGCCATTCGGCAAAGTGCATCCCTTGTTGACGCGTACCCTGCAGCCTGTAATCTCTTAACATGAAGCACTAACTTTTGTCCTGCTTCCAGGTCAAGGGCAGGAGATTGTCCTAGCTTACCTTTAATGCTGTTCTTTGTTTTGAGTCGTAATCGTAGGGTTTTTCCTGTATATCATATTTTTTAGCTGCACCCCTAAAAGAGCCGTCTGCAACATCCTTGAAAGCAGCACGAAGATTATCTTCAGTCCAGCAGCGTCGCATATTCTTACACTTGTAGCTAGGCATATCTACAAAAGAAAAATAAGTCCTATATTAAAAATTACAAATGTTTTATTTATGTGGGGGATATGACGCCCGTCATAGCCACAACGCGTCATATCCCCGACTCGACGCCATTTTAAGTAAAAAAATGCAAATAGTAAACGTGAAGGGCTATGTGTCTAAATAAGTCATGTTCTTAAGTTTAAATACATAAAAGATACACTAAAGCAACAAAAAATAAAAAAAAAATAAAATCTTTGAAATTACTAAGATAAAATTTTTATGGTGTTTACCTACAAAAGTGTACACAACACCAAAGCTTCCTCCACGACGGATCGCTATACACTATCTTAGAGATAAGTCATGCATGAGTCCGGTAATATATATTCTTTATCTATGGACATGAGTCATGCTTCATCTGGTGGCAATGGTGGGTACTACCGTTTCCCAAAAACCTTTCCCGCGCGAGCATGCAGAATTTGAAAAATATTGAAAACGGGTCATATCCCCGACCGCGTCATATTCCTCACGTTTACCTTAGCTGCTAATAAACACAATTTTCTCATTCAAGTAACTTGTAGAATTCTTTATTGAACCTTTATTTCAGTTGATAGGAATAACAAAAAAATATCAGTTTTGTCTTTGCCTTAAGAGCGTAGGCGCATAATTTCGGGCGAATGCTTTTTAAATGCATTCATTTTTTTCGAATCCTGGGATAACTAATAAATATTTTTGAAAAATTTAAACGCAGAATGAAAGATTGCATTATTATCGAGGGTATTACTTAGAATAAACAAAAAGTTTTTTTGAATTTGATATTTCAAATTAAAAATCACATTAAATTTTCTATTCTTTTATTAAAATAAACATCTTTGAGTTCAAAAGAAATAATTTATTGTTAAGTTAATATCACGAAACAATTTCTAAATAATGCATCATCACGTTTGAAAAATATTAATAATATAATATTAGCCGATAATATGAAAATCATGCAGGCACGAAGAACGTGTATTATATGCAATTTGTATAAAAGGTCCCGAAAAAATTTCACAACAATATATATGTGTGTGTGCCTATTCACGGGGTGTTTCATAATCCTTTAACGACGAACAACGGAATGGTTCTCTGAAACAAAGAAGTAAAAATCATTTCTTAATTCACTTTCGAACATATCGATCCTTACATAAAGGATACAGTTGGTTTATTTTTAGCGAAGGCGGTGAATTCAGTTTCAATCCGATGACATTTTGTATTAAAATAATATAACGAATTGTTCTTAGACTGTGAAAACTTTCGTTAGTTAACATACAATTTTTAAATATTTATTCGGATGTTTTATTAGGCCAGTACATACAAGTTTCATCTTTAATTGAAATAATGACGTGCTTAGAATTTGATGAATGGAGTAGGTATTTAGAAAAGTATGTTCTGTTAACAATTTAGAATGAAGATGAATGAAAGATTTCAAAAGCGAGCGCAAAAATGCGAGTAAATCGAATTTTCATTTTAATCGAGTATACCGAAATCGACTAAAACCTTTGATTAAGCTAGCCATTTAATTCGAAACGAAGCGAAAAATTTGGCGAACATATAAACTTACTGGTTCCCTTGATGATTTTCTTGTCCACCGTAATTTTTCTAACCGAGTCAAAATAATTGTTGCTAAAGTTAAGAATAGAATTTGAAGCATCTATCATTGCAAGTGGTAAAAGTAAAAACGTTTATCGGTATGTTCGCACATTTTTATCTTCTAAAGTCTCCATACCATTATTTTAAAAAGCTGATGGGTTTTTATGTTTTTCGAATAACGAATCTTTGGAATGTTTATTGTTATTCTTTTCTCAGGTTTTTACAGATAAACCTAACGATACCATTCCTCAAATAATGTGCCCACATTTGTTTAAAACTCTCGATAATATATCTTTCACACCGGATGCAATTAAACATCATTTATGGAAACCACGCAATAATTTATCACTTGAATTAGACGAACTCAAACGAACTTTTTCCTCAAACAATGTGTAGAATCTGTAGCCATTACTACATCTCTCTTAATTAATGCTTCTTTTAATTACGGTTCTCTCCCCTCGTCCTGAAAATTAGCTTCGGTTACTCCTATATTCAAGAAAGAAAATAAATTTTATTGCAATAATTATTGTCCAATCAGCTTGGTTCCTATTGTCGACAAGGTCATGGAATCGATAATTTCGGAAGCTATATCTGAGTTTCTTCTTCAAAAAAGTGTCATCACTCACCAACAGCATGGCTTTATCAAAGGTCGTTCAACGATCACAAACTTACTTCATTGTGTAAATGATTGGCCATTATATTTAAACAATCGGCATCCTGTCGATGTAGTCTACTTAGACTTCTTCAAAGCTGTCGACCATGTTTCAGAACGTCGATTACTAGCTAGATTTGATCACTATGGTCTCCGCGGAAATTTAAACATTTGGATTCAAGATTATGTATCTTACAGATACTTCAGGGTTCGTGTTGAGGAAGCCCATTCACTAGATACGCCAGTCAAGAGTGGAGTCCTATAAGGATCAGTACTTGGACCACTACTTTTTTGTATCTGCACTAGTGATCTTCTGCTCATTGTATTCAGTAAGGTTTCCATATACGCTGATGATATGAAATTGTATATGAATCCAACTATTAACCAACATGTTCTTCAACATGATCTTGATGCAATATTCGAACGGTCCTCAGAATGGAAAGACGCATTTCCTGGCTTCAAAATTTACGAAAGTGGTATAACACGAATACCACTGAACTATTCCGCGCTGCAATAAACAAAGTAAAGATAGCCGTGATGATCGCCAACATCCGGAACGAATAGGTACTTTAAGAAGAAGAAGTTATATTGCATATCGGCAAAAATAACCCATCCCTACCGTACTTTATTAATCGACATCCCTTAAACTCGGTAACCTTCTACAACGATCTTGGAGTGATAATAGTGACTTAAATTGGTCTGATCACATAGTGTAGATGTGTAAACGTGCAAACTCGAACCTGCTTTTGATCGGTAAATGTTTTACACGTATATCGCTAACCTCTGTTAGTAAAGCTTACTCAAACGTTAGACCTATTTTTGAGTTTGTCGGGCCACTGTGGAATCCAGATCTCAGTCGCGATTAAATCCTACTTGAAAATGTTCAGCGTAAAGCCACCAGACTGGCATACAGCCGTATAAGACCTTATTATGAAGATATACTATCCAAGGCTCATCTCATGACATTCGAGCAACGACGTCTTCGAGGTGACCTAATTATGTCCTTCCGTATTTTAAAACTTAATTTTGGGAACCTTAACACCATATTCACTTTAAATCAAGACGAAAGATTCAGAGGCCATCGTTACAAATTAAAGAGAGAACAGACTACTTCAAGGTTCAGGATAGACTTCGTGCCAAATAGAATATTTAATATCTGGAACAATTTGGATAAAGACACCATATCGGCAGCTAGTGTTAACATCTTTAGAAATTCTTTATAATTGGTATTAGTTTTAAAAGGATATTTTTCTTGGTTTTTTAGGCATAATAGGAGCTCGCTCCTCTGCCCTCATTTGTTATATAATAATAATAATAATATTGCGACTTTTATAAATTTGAATTTATGAATTCAGTTTTTGAAATAGTAAACTCAATTCGATTTTAAACCCTTTATCTTTGGCGCATCATGGACGGCTCATTTTTACAGAAATTTTTTACATTTTACACTTATTAGGTACTTGTCTCAACGAGTGTCATGGGAAAATCGTTAGTTCTCTGGTCTGAGACAGGAATTGGGATCGTACTACACCATAAATATGTACACAACTCACATACAATTCTTAAAGTCCCTAACGTCATCCACTAGTCAGATCAGTAAAGACAATAAGAAAAACAAAAAAGATATTACAAAAAACCGTTCACAGATTTCCATATTTCAATTTGTTTCCATTTTTTGGCGTTCTCATAAACATTGCATCTGTTGTTGATCTGAGGTGCGTAACTTCAAACATACATAAGTTCAAATATAACAATTTGATTAAATGCTGTGTTCCATATTTATTATTTCACACCTGTTGTAAGACTGGCCTGTTTTTCTTGTAGAGGGGGTCCGCCGTATTTGATGTATTCCAACGTGTGTATGGCCGCAAACTATCTGAGACGACTTTCTCTTACCTTTACCTCGCTTAGTAGGATTATTGCAATCTGTTCTTTCCATTGTAGATCGCACTATTCTAAATTACGGGAATTAATTTGGAAAACTTTCGCGAAATCGATCGATTGCTACTTATGATTATTAACTTTCTGTAGGAAATGTGAGGATAATTCAAAAAGTGCGCTTTCTGGACAGTTCTTTGTGGTAGGTAATGCAATCATGAACAGCTGATGAAGTGTAAAAAAAGTTTTCAAAATAATGAAGCACATTTGGATTTTTTTGGTGGTGGTGTTTGCGGTTTACCAATCAGGTATGTTGACATTTTTTTTGAATGAATAAAAAAATTCGAATAAAAACACTAGTTATAAAAATTAGTCAAAAATATATTTAATATGTAGTAAATACCTATACGTTAATAATTATAATTTAATATTTTTTTTTTATAATATTTTTAAAAGAACTTACATAGAAGTAAGAACTTATTGTGTATAATGGTATAATTTATTAAAAAATAATTTAAAAATTTACAAATCTTCCAAACCTTTTAGTTTTTAATAAATTATTTAATATATTAAAATTCATTATGATTTTAATGTAAAAGGGTTTCTACATCTGTTTACGTAGCTAGTTTCAACATTTTAAAGTGGAAATATACTTTCAGGTTTTTTCACTGTTGATGGTTCGACTGGACCGCAAATGTTTCGAAGACATTTGTAATCCTTTTGGATAAATTTTTAAATTATTTGGTAATAAATAATATACCATTTTACACAAGAAATTCTTAATTCTATGCAAGTAAACTCTAGTATACAGTCAACCTCTGGAATTTCCCCCCTTTCTTTGTTATTTTTAAAAGAGTTGATATACCCAGTGGCGCACCTAGAACTTGTCTGAAGGGGGGGGGGTTTGAAATAATTTTTTTATGCTACCTCCATTTTGAGTCCCTAAAATTTGGGCTTTAGTTTAATTTAAAGTACTAAAGATAGCAGTGCCAAAGATTCAGGTATCCATTATCCTGCTTACCAACTAAAACCACCCTCTCTTACTTGTACGTGACTGTCGCACGTACCGTATACTCCGAAAGTGGGGTGGCCGCTGTAAGGCTCACGACATTTTTGGAACACTCCCTTCTCTTTACAGACAGAGAACACTCTCTACTATTCTTTATATATTTTTTACTTTATATGCCCTAGGGGAGGGGGTTTAACTCCCAAACTCCCCCCTGGGTGCGCCTCAATATATACCTACACAATTTTTGTGCAGGTTTAGGCTAGTTTTGCTTTTCGATTATTCACTTAAATTAATTATCTTTTCGGTCTTTATCATCCTGTTAATTTCTTTTGAGTCTGTGATGATTGATGTGCCCTTTAGCCTCACCTCCAATAAACATGCGTTATTCATTCGTTCTACGTAACCAAGTTATACTCGCATAGACGATCTATCTTCTTCTTCTTAACGTGCCCTATCCCTAAGGATATTGGCGATCATCATGGCCCATCTGACTATATCTGGAGCCGTTCTGAAAAGTTTTATTGATGTTTTCCCACTCCACTGTCTTAGATTCTTCAACCAGGACATGCGTCTTTTCCCCGGTCCTCTTTAGGCTTCCACCTTCCCTTGTATGACCAGCTGCATCAATTCATATTTCTCGTTTCTTAGTATGTGACCAAAGTAGCTCATTTTTCTTTTCTTTATAGTTTTGAGTATTTCTTTATCTTTTTTCATTCTTCGTAGCGTTTCCGAATTTGTTATGTATTGTGTCTAAGATATTTTCCACATTCTTCCATAACACCACATTTTAAAGTTAATAAGTCTTTTCTCTGTCGCTTCTGTAATTGTCCAGGCTTCAACTCCATACAACAGGACAGAGAACACGTAGCATCTCAATACTCTAGTTCTAATTTCAATGTTGATTATTCCATTGCATAATATTGCTTTCATGTAATTAAAAGAACTTCTAGCTATTTCAATACGCCGTTTTATTCTCTATCCTATTCTTCATTTAGTTCGCAACCTAAGTACTAATATCTGTGTACTCTGCCTAAAAGTTTTCCTTTAGCATAAACACTGTCTTCCTCAATCTTGCTTATCACCATGATTTTTGTTTATTTGTATTCAGTGCCATCCTTCTCTGCTGTCGGCAAGGAGTATTGTGTCATCTGCGTATCTAAGATTATTCAGAAGTGCTCCGTTAATAAATATGCCTTCATTTACGTCTTCTAATGTCTCTTTAAACAATTTTTCTGAATACATATTAAAAACTAAAGGGGAAAGCACACATCCTTATCTTACTCCACGATTTATAGGTGTTTCTTTCAATTCTTGTTGTTCTATTCGTATTATGGCTTTCTGATATTGGTATAGATTGGCAATGATTCTCACGTCTTCGTCATCTAGTTCTGTGTTCTGTAGCATTTTTGCCATTATGCTTCTCTGGTGCCAAAGCCTTTTCTGAATCACAATTGGTTTTCAGCTATTCTATAATCCAGCTTTTAATAGATACGTTCGTGTATCACTCGTAAGAACACTTTTAGAATATGGTTCATCAATCTAATTGTCCTGTGCTTTTCACACTTCATTACGTTTGATTTTTTGGGTATTGGAATGAATATTGATATTAACCATTCTTTCGAAATCTCTCCCGTATAATAAATGTTATTAAATAATTCTATTAGTGTGCTCATATGATTTTTTGTTAATATTAGTCCCATGGCCTTCTCATTTTTTATACGTTTTAGAGCTTTCTCAATTTCGTCTTTGGTGATTGGTGGCCCATTTCTTCCTCTTGGTTCAATGACCTCAATTTTCTCGTCGTCTTCGAATAGCTCTTTTATGTATTCTTCCCATCTGTTTATTTTATCTGAACATTTCCTTATTATCTTGTTATTGTTATCCATGATAATTTCGATACCCTTTTTCTTGTATATGCCTGCTGTCTCTTTGATTTTCCGGTGTATGTTAAAACTGTCATGTTGTTTATCTAACCTTTCTATTTCTTCACACTTTTCTGATAGCCACAGTTCCTTAGCTTCTTTGATTTTCTGTTTGATTATTTTATTAATTTTTTTGTACTGTTGTTCGTTTTTATTCTTGTGTGTCCTTCTTTAAGTCATCAGTTCTTTCATCTCTTGTGTAATCCATTGTTTATTTTTAGATGATGTGTCTTCTTGAAGTTTTTGTTTTGTGATATTTCTCAAGATCTCTTCTACTTTCCTCCATTTATCTGTTGCTGTCGATTGCTTTTGCCTTTCTACTTCCTGAACTTCTTTGTACACTTGTTCTTTGATTTGTTGGTATATATCAGTTTCTTTTAGTTTTCGCAGATTGATTCTCGGTGTTTTGGCAGTTGTTTTTAACATTTTTAACTTGAGTTTCATGTTTGCTAGAACTAGATTGTGGTCACTTGTTATATCTGCTCCTATCGGCTTTAGCCGATATTATGGCATTTCGGAATCTTTGATTTACTATTATGTAATCTATTTGGTTTCTTATTATAATTTCACCATCATCTCTAGGTGCTTTCCATGTATATATTCATCGAATTATCTATACTTATTAATAAATCTTTCAACAGATATCTAGAGGCCATAGGTCTCTCACATTTGCTTTCATGATTATCAATTTAGAACTATTGGAGAAATTTTTACTTGTTTTTGTACGTTTTCCGCATATTGATGGTTTTCGTCTGCCACGCTCATTTTCTCCATTCTGAACCGTTATTCAATGTTGTCTTTATTGTCTCTATGTATATTCCTATCCACATTTTATTATTATCCAGATTTAGCCATACGGCTCACACTCCTTCTAAGGCGAAAATTCACTCATCCCCGATACCTACGGTATCAAAAGGATTGAGCTCTGGTGGAACTCTTTCGCATTGGTCATTTTCAATTTAGGTGGGACACTACAAAAATTTTCTTACGTATCTGGATGTTGAGAGCAGTACTCCTGCAGTAGAGAGAAAAACAGATATCGTCGTGAGTACTTTCCAGTTCTTATTTGTATTACCAGATCTCTGTACTTGGCGATTTTTTAGTTGTATTTTGCAAATTAGTTTTGTTATGTATCGCCACATCTGTTAATGTTTTCTATCTAGTATATTTGTTAACTAGTATGTAGTCTGTGATCTGTGAGCACAGTATTGTCCCAGTAAAGTTTGTAGTTGTCGTTTTCAAGCCTCCTGTCAGGGACGTATTGATAATAAGGGAGATGGTCGGTTTAAAGAAGTCCCAGATTGCTAGCTAGTTCTTGGTGAGGAATCTTTCCTACTGAGTCATGGCGTTCTGTGTAATCAGTTCCGATAAACGCCTGGCAGCTCCCCGTAAGATGTTGGATAGTTTCTTGGGCTTGACATTCATATCGGAATCTGTTGTTTTGGACCTGATGGTCTTTTAAAATAACTTTGAAATAACCTGGTCCTGAATGGCAAGTAGGTATCCCTTAGTCTCTGGAAACATCTATCCTGATGTCAATTAATAGTTCGACGCTATATTGTCGATATATTCTTGGCTTATCTCATTGAGATGTTGCCGATATAGAGGTTTACTCATCCAGATGCGCATTTTTTCTTGCTTAGTCAAGTTGATTATGCGCATTTCTTGTTCCCTCAGTTTGAGAGGGTGTTATGCCATCCACAGCGCAAATTGCGCGATGTAAAGTAGATGTCTCAGCCTGCGTCTGAAAATAGCAAATATTCAACATGTTTATCCAGCTGCTCACCTATGTCCATATCTTATCTTCCCCCTTGATACCGCGGTAATGTTGTTTTTTCTACTACACTGCATGTATGGTGTTTTTGCGCCTTCGTGAGAAGTGTTCTTATTTTCCGCTGAAGACTTTCTATATCCGTTATTGACCACTTAATAATACCAAATCAGAAACTAAGTAACTTAATGCCTTGAACAGATTTTTACTATTAAGATATGACCGATTTAGCTGTCTTACTCTTCGCACGAACTCAGAAGTAAGTTCATTTGTTTATGGTCAATTTTTCGCACTTGCTTTACTCCGAGATATTTGTATATACCATTTTCGCCATTTTCGCCCATTGCCTCAATGTTTTGGCCATCTTGCATAACGAAACCTCCGGGTCGAACCTTTTCTCTGACTATATTCAGAACACGGCGCTTGTCTAGTCCAAAGTGGATACTGATATCACTTGAGAATGTTTCAAAACTTTTTAGCATCTGATCTAAGTGGTTTCGAGTGGACGCTATTAATTTCAAATCATCCATATACAGCAGTTGATTAAGCTTCGCCACAACAGTATTGTTATTTTTAATACTGAAACCTGAGTCTGTGGAGTTTAGT